GGGCACCCTTGCTGTGAATACACACCCTGGAGCAGGAGCAAAGCCTCTGCGAGACGGAGTGGCTCTCTGCGCTTCTCCTACACCGATGGGACTCGGCCGGCAGGACTGGCTCCCCCCGCCCCCCCCCCCCTCCCCGCCCGCCTTGTTTCTCACTCGAGCGTTCATCAAGTCTGCGTGGTATCAGGTGTGTCCTTCTAACGGCTACGCGGTGCACCTTCACATGTCACTGGTTCATTCCCTGGTGATGGAAACCCAGGTGGCCTCCAGCTCCTTTCTGCCACAGACAACACTGCAAAGACTGCCCTTGTCCTTGTCCCTTTAGGCCCTGAGCAGGGGCTTTTCCTGAGGTTGGGTGTGGACAGAGATGGCTGGACCAGAGGGTGCGAGCTGACCTAAATTCCACCCGGCACTCCCAGCTGCTCCCAGGGAGGCTGCGCAGTCCCTGCTCCACCCCGAGAAAGGGGTCCCATTTCCCTACCTTTTCGCCAATGCATGGAAGGCATTTACCCAACTTCCTTACTGTTCCCGTAATGTAGCACTGTTATCTTGCCGTCTTTAATTGGTGTTTCTCCGGTTGCTAGAGTGTCTGTCACTTTGTGAGCCTGGTAGCCACGGGGGCCTCCCCTTCTAGAACTGCCGGTCCTACTCGGTGCTCTGCTCTCCACTGGGCAGCCCGTGGCCTTGACTGACCCCATGCTAACTAGTGGATCGGGCTTAGTCTAGGAAGCTTTGTGTCTCCTCAAGACGCCTTTGTTCACTTCTGCTGTGACCCATTATTTGCATTTCACAGCCTAATACTCAGGGGATACATCTGTTTTCCTTACATCCAAGTTTTCTGCTGGGGGAGGGGGCCCCGGAGATTTTCCCCATGGACCACCTACATCTTCCCCATGCTCAGCACTCTCACGTTCCCTGTGCCGGAGAACACCAAGGAGCCTGAGCGTCTGCTATGGGCCGCGCACTATGGAAGGATCGCCCGCCCCTCTTCACCCCCCTAACTCTGTGGGGGGAGCCTCTCACCATGCTTGAGTGACAGATGAGAAGCTGAGGCACATAAAAGTTTAGTAACATGCCCACAGTCACATACCTTGTATAAGGGGCCCAGCCAGGATGCTACTGCTTAAATTCATGTTAGTTTAATACATTAGGTCAATAGATACAATGTGCCCCAAATGATTTTAATTTATGATGAGAAAACCATTTTACATGGGAACTTAAAAATGTGTGAGGCAGGCATAGTTATTTCTTTATATTTTATTTTTAAATTAGTTATTTTATTTTTAAATTAACTTTACTGGGGTGACATTGGGTAACAAGATTATGTAGGTTTCAAGGGTACAATTCTATGACACGTGATTGTTATATCACATTATGTGATTGTTATATCACACCACCCAAAGTCAAATCACCTTCCGTCACCATACATTGAGTCCCCTTTTCCGCTTCCCTACCCCCTTCCCTCCGGTAACCACCACACGGTGGTCTGTGTCTATGAGTTTCAGTCTTACAGCTCACACAGGAATGAAATCACATGGTCCATGGCTCCTCCTGTCTGACTTATTTCGCTCAGCATAATATTTTCAAGGTCCGTCCATGTGTCACACATGACAGTGTTTCGTCTTCTCTTACGGCGGAATAGTATTCCATTGTCTATACGGACCACACTTTCTTTATCCATCACATGTTCCAGGACGATTTGGTTATTTCCATGGCATGGCCACCATGAATAATGCTGCAATGAAAATAGGGGTGCATGAACCTTTGCAAATAAATGTTTTTTAAAATTTGGGGGTAGATACCCAGAAGAGAGGTTGCGGGGTCATATGGTAACTCTATTCTTGAGTTTTTGAGGAAGCTGCATACTGTTTTCCGCAGTGGCTGTACCAGCTTACATTCCCACCAACAGTGAACGGGGGTTCCGTTTTCGCCACAACCTCTCTAACACGGTCGCTGCCTGTCGTGTTGGTAACAGCCATTCGAACCAGTGTGGGGTGGCTTCTTATTGCAGTTTTGATTTGTATTTCCCTAATAGTTAGTGAAGTCGAGTATCTTTTCCTATATCTGTTGGCCATTTGTATGTTTTCTTGGGAGAAGTGTCTCTTCAGGTCCTCTGCCCATTTTTTAAGTGTATTGCTTGTTTGTTTGGTGTGAAGTTGCATGAGTTCTTTATTTACTTTGGATATTAAACCCTTGTGGGAGCTGTTGTTTGCAAATATCTTCTCCCATGTGGTTGGTTTGAGGCATACATATTTGTAAAAAATTCTTTTAGGGGTGTGTCAACAAAACCTGGCTGTGGACCCCAGTGCTCCAGGGGTGGTGGCAGAGGTCAGGAGGTCAGGAGGAGGGGCCCCCTTCCTCCAGCTGGCGGGGCTGGTGTTGGCACCGCTCCTTGTGTTCAACGCGATGGTGTTGCTCCCAGAACCTGTAAGTGCCCGGAGGATAGGGATTCTGTCTGTCTGGGTCATGCTTGCCTCCCCACAATCAGTAGTGCCTGGTGCCTAGCAAGTCCTCAATAAAAACCTGTTGAATGAGTGAATGGCAGACACTTACTGAGCTCTCACTCTCTAAGGGATGCCTGTGCATTCCCATTGAATCCTATTGCAACACTGTAATAGGCCCAATTAGTGGTCCCATTACAGAGACGGGGAAACCAACGCATGGAGAGGAGACAAAACCTGCCCAAAGTCACTGACTAAGGAAGTAGCAGGCTGGGATGCAGGCATCCTCACCAGAGCCCTCAGCCATGATGCCTCTGTGCCCCAGGGACATGGGGGCAAGGGCCTGCGTCTTTGGGTTCTGAAACTCCAGGCACTTTGGGGCCCTCCACAAACGTGATGCCCTCACAGCCGTCTCAACCAACTCCCACGGCTGCTCTCTCCTCCTAAGTGGTTTTCCTTCTCCCCTCCCCGTTTGTTTAAGTTACACACATCCTGGGACATGCCGGAGTCCCCCTGTTACTGACCTACTTACTTATCCAACCAGCTCTCCCGCACATGAGGGGCAGCAATGGGAAGCACAGGGGGCGTCTGGCAGGCAGTGAGGAGGCGGCTCGGAGGCAGCAGCATAGGCCCCCCTTCTGCCTGGGGCGGCCTGCGGCCGGCAGCGGCAGACAGGGATAAAACAAGCCCCAACTCCATGCTAAGAGACCGCGGCAAAATAACATTTATTCTAAGTGGCTTTCCAAGAAAATAGCTTCTGTTCCTCCCGCCCCTGGAAGGGTCTCCACAGCTCCACTATGTCAGGGGGATGTCTATTTCTCTTCTGCTTCATAAAATGGAGGAACTTGGAAGTCAAAGGCGGGCCTCATCCCTTGGTAGTGAGGATTCCAGCTCCAAGTCGGCCCCAGACAAGACAAGCATTCTTCCCGTCAACCATCCCTTGTTTCTTTTTCTTTATTAAAAAATTAAATCTTTGGGGGTAATAGTGGTTAATAACATTATATAAGTTTCCAGTGTACAGTTTTATAATACAATTCCTGTGTATCTCATTGTGTGCTCACCACCCAAAGTCTGGTCTCCTACTGTAATCTTGTATTTGACTCCGTTTACCCTCTTCATCGACTCCCCACCCCCTCTGGTAGCCACCATTCTGTTTGCCAGTCCCTTTCTTCCTTCCTCCCTTCCTTCCTTCTGTAGCTTTTTGTTGTATATCTCACCTCTGAATGAAATCATATGGTTCTTGTCCTTTTCTGTCTGATTCACTTCACTTAGCACAATGCTCTCAAGATCTACCCATGTTGTTGCAAATGGCAACATTTCTTCCTTTTTAATGACTGCGTAGTATCCATCCTAAATTTGCATCACATCGTGTTTCACCAACCACCCAGTCCCCTTTTCCCTTTCCCCCTCCGCCACCAGCTTGAGGATACCCAGAGGCCAGAGGCTCAGGGACTTGAAGTGGCGCCTGCCTCAGGCTCCACAGGTGGCAGAGGGGAGGAGTGGAGGGGCGCAGAGTGGCTTCCCCAGGAAAGAGCTGTCCCTGGCTCCCAACACCCTATGGCCTCTTTCCTGGCACAGTTGGCCAGTAGTGTCCGTGACCTCACGGCTAATTTCAGGGACAGTGGGGATCAAAGAGCAGCTTCAGCCCCTACCTGGGGCCAGATGAAAACACTGGTCCCCGACTCCTCGCCTTGGCTCCTGACCCTTGACTCGGGGACCCCTGTCTCCTTGCCCTGGAGCTCCAGCTTCTTCCCTCTGTGCCCTCGCCGCTCCTCTCCAGTCCCCCATCCAAGGTCCCTGGGAAATGCGGCCGCGTGCAGGGGCGAAGAGCGTGCGCTCCGGGCAGCTGAGGACCTGGCAGCCGGGGGGTGGGACGCGGAGCGGGACAGGACAGCAGGGGTCTGGGCGGGAGCCGGGGTGGAGGCCCCTCGGGCGAAGCCACCGCGGCCCCTCCCGCGCCCCAGCCCTCCGCCCCCGCGAGCCGCCGGCCGTGACGTCAGAGCCGGACCCGCTAAACTGAGCGGCAGCGGCTGCGGGGCGCGAGGGTGGAGACTGAGACCCGGAGGCGCCCAGACGGACGGAGCCCAGAGCGGCCAGAGCAGGCAGCCGCCAGCGACCGCGAGGTAACGCGGGCCCGCTCCCTGCGCGCAGTGCTCGGTGCTGGGGCAGAGCCCGCCGGGGCGCAGCGGACCGCCGGGGAGTGTGGGGCTGGACGGGGGCGGGGTGCAGGGGAAGCCGCCAAGCGCTGCTCGCGCGCTCCGGAAGGCCGGGGCGAGACGGGGCGCAGGACGCACAGTGGGCTGGTCCCGCGGCGCTTTCCGAGCGCGCAGTGGTGGAAGCGGGACTCAGGTGCGCGCCCCGACGGCGTCTTTGGGCGTTATCTAGCAAGGAGCAAAGGTGTGGGTGAGGACAGCCGCCAAGGGTGAGCCGAGGGTGGGACCCCGGGGACCTTCCCGTACAGCCCCTTCCGCGGCCCGGGAAGCCTGAAACTGGGGGTCGGGGAAAGCCCCGGTCCGCCGCGGCTCCTCACCGCCCGCCGCGCCCGCAGCCGAGCCCCCAGCTATGGCCCTGAGCGACTGGGCGCTGGTCCGCTGGCTGGTGGACAGCCGCCACTCCCGGAAGCTCATCCTGTTCATCGTGTTTCTCGCGCTGCTGCTGGACAACATGCTGCTGACCGTCGTGGGTACGTACGGGCTGGCCCTCTCCGAGCGCCCTTTCCCTGGGCGCCCCACTTACCCGAACGCGGTCATGGACCGCTGCGCGCCCTGGGGAAGTTGGAGAACGCGGTTTGCAAAAGCACACCCCGCAAGACTGCCACGCCTGGGCTAGTAAGAGCGCGTTGTGGCTTCGTTTTCCTGGTAGTCAGGTCAAAAATGTAACATCGATAAAACCCAGAACTTGTGTTTCCTCCTGATAATTTCCAGCTTCCCCCTGCCCACGTTCACCACAATGAAGAAGATTTCTGTTAAGGTCTAGCAATTCCCAGAGTTCAGAGTAGTGTTATAATGCTTATTATGCTGCCTCAAAAGGAGGGTTAATAATGTGGTATAACATCCAAAGGAACAAGTAAGCATCCCTCCCTCCGAAAAGGGAAGTGGCATTTCAATAGATTGTATCTGTGGATGACTCAAGATAGGAGCATTTCAAGACCGTTTGGAGAGGATTTGGAACAGTATTCATTTTAGCCCTTTTTCTATAATGGACTTTTAAAAATCTAAATAATTTAAACCCAGGTCTCTTAATTAGCCCCATTAACAACAGAATATTTGGCATGCTTTTCCTTAAAAAAATATCTAAATTGTTAATGAATAAGAAAAAGACTTTTAAAATTTCAGCTCTCAGGAGTGGGTTGTCTCCTCTCTCCTGTTTGTAGGTTCTTCCGACACAGTTTTCAGAGCGTCAAATAGTCAGGCTTTCACCTCAAGGATTGGCAGAAATGTGAGGCTCACCGGGTTCAGTGACAAGGGCCTCGCCTGTTCTTTGTGTTGAATGCTCCATTGTTACATATGGGCCCGAAGCGTCTATTAATTCAAAAGGTTTTTCTTTTCCTTCATAAAAGCCTCAGAAATTCTTTTTTTTAAACAACAGTTTTATTTATTTATTTCTAGAGAGAGAAAGGAAGAGAAAGAGAGACATCGATTTGTGGTTCCACTCATTTCTGCATTCACTGGTTGATTCACTGGTTGATCCCTGACCAGGAATCGAACCCACAGCCTTGGCACATCAGGGTGATGCTCTAACCAAATGAGCTGCCCAACCAGGGCTCTCAGAAATTCTTATATTTTCGAGATAGGATGAAAACTTGCCAATTCCCACTTAAAAAAATAGAGAGATGAAGTGAGCGTGTTGCAGAATTTTCCAATTATGGCTTCCTGCAGGTTTATTTTGTCTAAGACACGCAATGAAATGCAGGGTCCTGTTTCCCTCATTCATGCAGTTAAAGGTCTTTGGAGCCTCTTCCTGAGAAGCCCTGGCTGATCCTGGGTCAGCACCAGCTCCACCTCAGAGCAAACTTTGCTTTCCCCACTTGAATTCCTGCGAAGGAACCCTGTAATGGGAAACCCCACGAAGGACAGGGGTCTCTGGGGCTGCCGGTCAGTTCTGCACAGTAACTGGCTCTGAGAGCAAATGGAACTTTCTCAGCCTCCTGGGGCTTTGTTCTCTCTGGGGAGCCAAGTGATGTGGAATTGTCCCAGTGTCATTATGTGTGTGTGTGTGCGTGCGTACGCGCGTGCACGGGTGGCGGGGGGTGGTGTTCCTGGGGTAGACATCCCACCTCGCTGTGTGTCTTTTGGCATTTGATGTGACCATGGATTTTCTGGCATTTGTCCCAGGGAGGGTTTCAGCACAATCACCACCTTCCTGTTGTGCTCTTGTCCCTAGTCCCCATCATCCCAAGTTACTTGTACAGCATTAAGCATGAGAAAAATATGACTGAAATACCGACTGCCAGGCCGGTGCTCACAGCCTCCGCCACCTCAGGCAGTTTCCAGAGCATCTTCTCCTATTATGACAACTCCACCGTGGTCACCGGCAACAATACCAGTGACCTTCAGCAGGGCCTGCTGCCTAAGGCCACCACACAGCACACGGTGACTAACGCATCGGTCAGTCCTTCCAACTGCCCCAGGGAAGATGAAGACCTCGTGAATGAAAATGTGCAAGTGGGCCTGCTGTTTGCCTCCAAAGCCATGGTCCAGTTCCTCACCAACCCATTCATAGGACTGTTGACCAACAGGTAGGTTGTGTTATTTTGGCCAAAGCGTTTTGTATTTCTGTTGTTCCAAGCTCATTTCTCTTCTGGAATTCTGTTTTTCATTCATTTATTTGAATCAGGGAACCAGTGGGGAGTGAGCTGGGGAAAAATCCAGTCCCTTCGCCTTATGTTTCTGTCCATAGTTTACAGTTACTATAATGGGAATTACAGTTTCCCATTTGTTTTGCCTTTCATTGCTATCTCTGTTGCCTAAAAAGTAAGAGAATACTGAGACAGAATACAGAGGCCCTCCCCACGTGGGAGAACTTTGATTCTGTCTAAATGCCACGTTCCCTCATCAGATTCTCTGTACCATGCAGTTTTCCCTTCTCTTCCACCCCTGGTCCTGCACTTCCTCACAGAAAGCCAAGGTGGCTTCTCTAGAGCTGGCTGGGTGGAAGCTCAAGCAGGCAGCCGGGGGCAGGATGTGGGGAAAGATGGGCCATCTCGCTGCAGAGAAGAAAGTTGTAGCTAATGTGGAGGTCTGGGGCAGTGTGACAGGTCTGTCCCCTGCAAGTTACTGACTGGTGTCCTCGTGCACACAGGGAAGAGAATGGAAGCTGTTTTCTCCATAATTCAAATGAGCTGATAATGCCCCCAATAATGCCCAAACTAGGTTTATGCCAACCTAGATGTTCTGGACATTTTTGGACCCCTATTATTTTGTTCACGTCCCTATTGTTGGTGGGTGGCCTTGCAGTCAGTCTTTGTCCTTCTACAGTGGAGGTGGCCCAGCTCTGCCTGGTCTGTGGGGGCTCAAAGTGTCAGACCAGGGTGTGCAGTGCAGGGGCGGGGCTGTTTGAAACATGCTCATTTAACCTTCATCTTTTAGTGCTGCCTTGTAGTATGGGAAATGCAAATACATTTTAATATTGATGTTGGCAGCATAACTGAGTGAGCTGCATCCCTCCAAAAATGATCACGATCTGTCATTTTTCCAGTACTTTCTGAGCCCGGTAGACCTGAATCCTGGGCACTCCACCAGTGTGCTCAGAGAAGAGATAAATATGCTCCCCTTATGCTTTCCAGAGTCTTCCTTTGTAAGCCATTGCAAATAGTCTTTGATGTAATTTGTGCCAATCACATCCTCAATTACCCACAAAATGTGGGATTCACCTTTTCAGTGTTGTAAACAAGTGTGTTTAAAGCAGCTTTTTACAGTTGGGGCAGGGGCGTCGGCTGCCAGGAGAAGGAGGCAGAACAGTGAAAGCGGTGGTCGTGGGCTGCCATCTAAACAGTGTAGCCCCAACGGCAGGCGTGCAAAGAATAGAGGAGGAAGTGCCCCGAGTCCTGCCCATGAACCAGGCCGAGCAACATGAACAAAGGCAAAGACCAGAGATGGAAAAGAAGGGCGATTGTGGGGGGAGTGGGATAGGGGAGGGGAGAAGGGAGAGCAGGGGGAACAGGGTGGGCTGGTCTACAAAAGGCCCCAAGTGGCAGGCCATGAAAGGAGTGGGGTTTTATTGTGGGGCTACTTGGAAGCCATTAGAGGTTCCAGTGCCAGGTTGAAGAGGCAGCAAGCCAAGCCCAGTGTTAAGCAGGTCCGCCCAGCACCCAGCATAGGTTGGCAATAGGGGAGTCTTTACACTTGCCCAGGCTGGGGCGTAGGGATGGTGGGCAGGACCACCAGGGTCCTTTGTTTAAACTATTGTTAATACCTCAAGAGGGTAACGACAAGTGTTAAACCAAGCCTGGGGCCCTCTTGGAGTGGGGCCCTGTGTGACCGAGGGCGTGGGACCAGCTCTGGGGCTGGGGGTCAGTGAGAGATGAGGCCTGCGGGTGGGTGGCAGCGGCTGAAGAGACACGGAGGTTCGCCGTCCCCAGCACAAGCCATCCTCAGACGCAGAGGTTGCAGGGTACCTGTGGCGAGCTGGACAGAAGCGCATTTTAAACTTTTGCAATTTGCTTCTCTGGGCTGACTCAGTTCAAACAATCCCAAGCCATGTCCAGCCATCCAGTCCATGTGAAGCAGTGCGGTGAAGCGGCCGTATCCAATAGGCTGAGCGAATTAACTCAGCGATGCCGGCCGGGCTGCGCCCACCAGGGAGCACCGTGGGCAAGGTGACGTTCACAGGCTCCTCTGTTCTTTAGGAGGAAAACCAAACAGTCCTCAGTGGTTACACAGTAGTTTTCTTTCTCTTTCCAAGACTAAGAGTGCTCCTTAAAATGCATCAGTATAATTACGGAAAACGGCTCAGGGTTTTGTATTCTCAGAAAGCAAGCAGCTTGCGTCCTACATGGGAAAATTGAGGACGTCATTATAATAACGCCTCGCTATTACTGTGGGTGCAAATGTTACTAGCCATATAGTGTAATGGTTAAAAACTCAGCGGAAGCGATGCGAGTATTCCAGTCTTCCAAATGCAAACGGCAAATGAAAAGCTTTAAAAAAGTCCCATTCTTGTTTTTAATGCTTTGTTTATTCCATGAGGAAGAAACTTGACTTAGTGAGACCTTTCCTCTGTGTTAAATACCCCAAATGCTTTGACATTGCAGCCGCTCAAAGCTCATGTTTGGGGCTCTGGAAAAAAAAAAAAAATCTCTTCCAAGAGAAACCTAATTTCGTTTTGTGACCTGTGAAATTCAGTCTATTCTTAGCACCTTAGTAATCCATGTTGGAATTTATCTACAGCAAAATTTTAAGCCCTAACTGCTTCCTCCAGCTACCCAGCAAATTTCAAAATAACCTTCATCATTTCGCGCTGCCTTGTAGTATGGGAAATGCAAATACATTTTAATATTGATGTTGGCAGAATAATGGAGTGAATGCCAGCCCTCCAAAAATGATCATGATCTGTAATTTTTCCAGTACCTTCCGAGACCTGAATCTGGGGACTAACCACGTGTTGGGGCACTCCATGGTTCTGCTCAGAGGAGGGATAAATATGCTCCCTTTTCTGTTACAGACTCTTCCTTTGTAAGCCATTGCAAATAGTCTTTGATGTAATTTGTGCCAATCACATCCTCAATTACCCACAAGATGGGGGATTCACCTTTTCAGTGTTGTAAACAAGTGTGTTTAAAGCAGCATTTTACAGTTGATTTAATATGTTTCTGATTAAAGAGGAGTTCAGGACACAAAGCCCCAGAGCTAGAAGACTTGAGCAAAGGTCTCGGGCCAGTTCCAGGATTTTCTGGGCAAAGGAGTTGGCTGCTCGGGAGGAAGTGCCTGCACAGCTGCAGGAGGGGAGCCAGGACGCAGGCTCTCTGTCCGGGGAGCTTCCTCTCCTCGTGCTCTTTCCACCTGCTTCCTGTCATACAGTTTGTATGTCTGGCTACTAAAAATCAATAATGAAGGTCAAAATCTGTCTTTCTTGTGTGGACTTGGGCTCTCTGGTGGTATCAGACTGAACTAGTACAGGTCCAAACCGTGAGTTTGCTGATTGCTATTTGTAACCATGGGCAGGTTGTTCAGAAAAAAAATCAGCCTGGCTTTTGGGAGATGGACCTTCCCTCACCTCCTCGGCCTTAAAAAAGTCCCTGGAAAAAATCTTCCAGCCACTGATGTGAGCTGGTCCAGCTTCCTAGCATCTCTGCACATCTCTGCACTGCTTTTGACAGTGGGGAAAAGGGAGGCCCCCTGTATATGGGGGAGCTACCTAGAGACAGGCTGCTTGCAGCCACTCCTGTTCAAAGCCTCTGGGTGTCAGCGGGCCCCACTCCGAAATGAGACCCCCCACATTACTTGTGTCACAACCCGATCTTCCATATTACATCCCAGAGCCCCGTATTCATGGCTGTGATGCTGCCGTGTGAGTGGCTTTTGTGGGCGGATGAGGCAAGAAGCAGCCTCTCTTTCTGTTGTTTTATGTATCAGACAAGATTGCATGACAAACCCTGAAAATAAAAAATGCAGTTCTTGGTAAGCATGTAAGTGTTCATCTGGCCGCTAATATAATACAAGTCACTTCTCTTTCACTTACTCATCTGGTACCATAGTTTTACTGAAAAACATGTGACCAGAGGGGAGCAAAGGACCTTTGGTTTTAGCTGAGTGGAGCGATCACATATCCAGTAACGCGTTCTAAAGCCTGTGGAGGACGTGTCTGACTTGATTTCCGTCTTTGAGGCTCCTGTGACTTATTTTATAGTTCCAGTTTATTTCATGATTGCCTTGTGTGTGAAAGGGGGTAGAAGGACTTATACTGGCAACATCTGTTATCGTGTGGCCCAGCAAGTGATTTTTAGACATCCACACACATAAGAGGAATGCTCCGGGCAGGTACAGTGCAAAAACACCTTGATGTGTCTTTGTCCGCCAATCAAGTTAAAGACGTAGCATCGTGGTCATCACTTGCTTAGCATAAGGATTACACAGTGTTTGCACCTTTAGAACTGAAAGTTATTTCAAACATACCAGGTGGCGAGGGAAAGGGTTAACCCCCTCCTTAGCTTGTCAGTGTGTCAGTGGTCTGTTTTTTATCAAGCCAGCGACAGTGGCTTAATTTATTTCCATAGTTACCTAGTATATTTGAAAGCCAGTTATTTTCCCTCACAAATCAAAGCGAACATCTGAATGGCAAGGAGGAAGCCGCAGGGCACAAAACCTCCTCGGTATCTACAGATCTACGGGTGGTTACTTTTTCTCTTGCTTCAGCCAGCTGGTCAAAGTGGGCTTTGCGGGAATAAGCAGTGACCTTTTCAGCTTCTCCGAGGACATGGGAAACCAGCCGCTGTGGAAGGGGAGCTCCTGCCGTAGACGCTGTTGGGAGGGTGTGTCGGAGCCTTCGCTTCTGATCTCAGAAAGAAGTTGGCCCTGGCACCGGGCATTTGTCAGGGGAGCAAAGCCCCTGCTTGAACTGTGTGCCAGGGAACAGTGGGGACACCCAGAGCGCGTGAGAGCAAGAAACCCACAGCTCCGCAGCTCACGGAACGCCCTGCACACATCCAATCCCTGGAAAAGACAGAGTCACGGACGAAACCAGAGGATTTGGTTTTATTTACAGAAGGATTGACGATAAACTTCCCAGTGTATCCTATGAATTTATTCCTTTTACTGATGATGTTCACTCGCATTTTAGGGGTGTGTTAGGATCATTGAAAAAAGGAGATGTTACCTCTTGTCCCTTCTGGTGATAGTTTGCACCCTGCTCTGTGTCCTCGCTTTTGTCACTTACCATGCAGCGGGAGCCCAGGTCTAACAAGCCCGACAGTGGAGCTTGCATAGTCTCCACAGCAAAGGTGAACTACTTTGTAGCGTTGAAGAAAAAGTACTGCTTCTCAGTGATGAATTAGGGAACGTGAGGTTTCTCCACTGACCCCTTAGAGGTATACATAAGTGACTACAACTTTTACTGCTTTGTATTTTTTCCTAGGGATTAAAAATAGGACTTTTAGTCTTATCCAATTGGATGAACTGCTCCCTGATGCTATGTGGAGGGTAACCGTAGGCTGGGATGGCTCACCAGGGGGTGATCATGGGAGATTTGGTTAAAGGTTTGCCACATCAGGTCCAGAATTGAGATGGCATTGAATTGGGACAAGAGCTGATTCAAATGTTTGTCGCTTACTTATGGTGGTTGAGGTTCTGTCCACTTAGGAGACATCCTGGGGAAGGAGAAAGGGCATTGGAGGTCTGCCCGTCGTTCAGTGGCCCCGGGGTCTTGGATGAGCCTCCTTCTGAAGTGGGTGCTCAGGGGGCTAAAAGAGGTTGAGGGTGGAGATCCAGCAGTGCTGCCTTGCACTGGGGCTGAGCTCCAGGGAAAGGCTGCGCACCACTCTCCCCGGGGCAGCCCTGCCAGTGGCTTGGCCAGCATGGGAGGTGAGGGCACACGTGTCTGGCGAGGAGAAGGAAGCAGCGTGAGCCCACTGGGAGCTGAAGCTGCTGGCTGGCTCTGCGACTGTGGGCAAGCCTCCCCGTCTCTGAACCTTGCTCTCTCGCCCAAGACGAGGGTTTGGACTGGCCAGCCTTGGAGTGGCCTTCCAAATTTGCCAGTTGGTTATGCCATATGTGGTTTAATAAATCCCAAAGGAATTTTAAAAACAGGAGTTGCAGTGTGTTTTAAGAAATCACAGCCCCTGGTCTTGGTAGAAGGACTCCTCTGTAGACGCAGAGCCCCGCGGGTTCCAGTCCATCTGGTTTTTGGTGAAACCGCGGCCCTTCCATCCCACTCACCCCATGTGAACCTGCACTCCTGCGACGCCTTCCCACCAAAGTGTACACAAGCAGGACCTGGCACATCTTGGACGCAGGAGTTATGCTTGTTGCCCTGAATTTTGGGCAAGTTACTTAAATTGACTGAGCCTCAATGTGGCCACCTGAAGAATGAGAAGAAAGCTAGCTACCTCTTGGAATCACAGGTGACATTGCCCACTGGTTCCCTACTGAGGTCACCTGCTAAGAAGGAGCCCACCCCAGCTGTGTCCTGCCAGGTAACCTGGGATGGTGGCTGAGCTGTGGACTGGGCGTGTCACAGGTGGGCACAGGTGACCAGGTTCTTGGTGATCACGAACAATGAATTGAACTGAACACACAGAGAGTTCATAGCAGAAAGAGAGAGAGCCAATTGCTTAAGTGACAGTGCGCGCCACAGAACATGGGGGCGGGCCAACTCTGAACAGAGACTGGTGTCAGGGGCTGGAGGGATTCTATTCCTATAAGCAGATATTTCCTGGCTGGTTTTGGCGGGCTTTTATTGCGCATGTAGAAGTAGTTGTATTACTCTTAAGCTAATGTACGTGGGGTCTCCCTTGGTTTTCCTTGATTGGCCACCGGGGGAGGGGGGCCCACGATGCTAACTTACCATAATACTGTTATAATGACGCAGGGGTCCTGTAGCATCTTCTGCGCAGGTGCAGTCAGGATTCACCACGATTCAGCGCTTTTCCAGAAAATGCGGACAACGGGTCTTAGAACAGGGTCTCTGTCCTGTATCGATGTCCTTTGTCTTAGCCCTGGGGCACCTCCAGGCTTTCCTCCCTCCTGACTATCTCCTGCTTCAGGTGTAGGTATCACTGTACAGCTTTGACACACATACAGTTTTCCAAGTCGTGTGTGGGGAGCGGTGAGGAACCTGTGGGTTATTCCGGGGCAGCTGCAAGTGTTGTCCTATGTCGGCTCTTTCCCCAGAAATACTGTAGTTCCTGAGAGGTATAAACTGTCTGCGAGCTCTCCTCCCCGAGCCTCCTGGGAGTTTCCTTATTGGCATCCTGCAGTACCATGTAGGACCTGTGGTTGTGCATGGACTCCTTTTGCCACATAAATAAAGAGCACAGAGCAGTCAGCTCCAGGCTAATTGAGACAAGAGAAGCTACCATCTGATGGCCATCTGGACAACAGATCAGAGCATGACCAGAACCTTTGGAAAGGTTATATTTAAAACCAGATATGCCCTTTGGCTGCTTGAAGAGGTGGGACAGTTTGCAAGGTAAAGCCCTGGACTGGATGGAATGGCTTGGAATGAAATTAGCCTTAGGATGTCCAGTGAGTCACTTTTTTAAAAAAATAAAGATTTTTATTTTTAGAGAGAGAGGGAAGGAGAGAGAGAGGGAGAACAACATCAGTGTGTGTTTGCTTCTTGTGCGCCCTCTACTGGGGACCTGGCCTGCAACCCAGTCATGTGCCCTGACTGGCAATGGAACTGGAGACCCTTTGGTTCACGGGCCAGCACTCAATCCACTGAGCCACACCAGCCAGGGCCAACGAGTCACTTTTTGTGCCTGAGTTTCCTCACATGTGGAATGGGGAGGTAGTTGGCTGTCCTTATCAAATCATTGAGCTGCCAGGGGGTGGTAGGTGTTTGGAGCAGTCAGTGATGGATACTGCGATTTTTTTCTTCGAGGCTGAGTGGCTGCGATTCAGGACTTTTTTGGTCTACGATCCAGGGCTAGGGAAAGGCAGGGCCTGGAGATGCTCGGGGCTGTCCTGGGTGGACGCGCCTCTCCCGGAGCCAGCGCTGCACTCCCTTTCTGGGCAGGGGGCCTAGGAAGCGCCTTCACCCTCCTGCCTCACCCCCATGGCAGAGACCAGCTGTCTGCTTAGTAAGCAGAAACAGAGGAAAGAAAGGAGAATGAGGGAGAAAATGAAATTTCTGAAGCACTGTCTCTGTTCCAGGCACCCTGGTAGTAGTGTACGCCCACACCTCAATATTTATTTATTTATTTATTTTGAGAGAGAGAGAGAGAGAGAGAGGTCAATTTGTTGTTCCACTTATTTAGGCATTCATTGGTTGGTACTTGTATGTGCCCTGACCGGTGATTGAACCCACAACATTGGCGTATCATGACAACGCTCTAACAAACTGAGCTCCCTGGCCAGGGCCCACATCTAATTTTACACTCGCCCCTGTTCTGGGAGGTGGGAGGTGGGTGGTGGTGGGCTCTCTGGGAGGCTGGTGGGGGGACTTGCTGGGTTACTGGCAGGGCTGGACGTCCAGCCAGGGTGAGATACCAGAAGGCCAAGGCTGTCCCCCCGACCCACCCGCCTGGTGGCAGAGCCCCGAGGGGGCTGTGGTCTTACGGAAAGATCAGGATGTTGCATTTTTGCACAGAAAACAAGACCTGACTTTCTAGGCTGGCCTCGCTGGGTCAGCATGAAGACAGATTTGAACATCTCGCTTCCTTGCGCCTCTTAGACAGAGCACAGTTGTCTCTGTGGCTGGTCAAGTCACTTGATGACCTTTCAGTAGAATCATTTGATTGCAGTTGTCCCTTTGGAAAAGCTCCAGCAAAGACTGTAATATAAGAAATAGTTTAAAAAAATAATGGAAACAGGGACTATATATTTTGGCCATGTCCTGGCTTACTTGCCAATGCTGTGTTAACATTTGTCCTAGAGAAATTTCTGTTCAGAGTGGAAGTCCATAAATGTATTCACATTCTAAGACAGTCAAACACAAAAAGGTCACGCAGGAAGCACAAACTATATGAATTTTTAGAAAAGTTGACCAAACAGTAATCCGCCTGATCCCACAGGGAAAGCAGGAGAGACTCCGTACAAAGCTTTGAGAAAACACAAAGCAGTTGCCAGATTTTTCCCATGGTTTTGTCTTGCAGGATCGGCTACCCAATTCCCATGTTTACAGGATTCTGCATCATGTTTATCTCAACGATCAGTAAGTGTCTTGTGTTTGCCATCGAGTGTGGGTCTCAGGATGGGCTCTCTTGGCCACCGCGAGTGGGGAATTGACAACCCAACCTGGAATGGGGGCAGGGGTGGGGGGATGTTGGCAAAAACTGCAGAAAGAAATCACCTGCAGAAAAAGCGCAGGCAAAAACACCATGGGGTTAATATAGAGGTGAAGCATCCGGTGACGGGCCTCAGGGGGCCTCGGCTGGCCGGGGCCTTGCAGTGTTCCACTCCCGCCCTGACAAGGCCTGGCCCGCTCTCCCGGCAGTGTTCGCCTTCTCCAGCAGCTACGCCTTCCTGCTGATCGCCAGGTCGCTGCAGGGCATCGGCTCCTCCTGCTCCTCGGTGGCTGGTAGGTGTGGAAGTGCCTGAGTCAGCACCTGGGGCCCTTCAGTCTGTCTGAGGGGCCACAGGCACTGGCGCGTTGGCCGCCCGTGCCCTACCCCCCAATGCCGTGCCACTAGCTGGATTGTTAAGGGAACCCAGGTATTGGTGGTGGCGGCTGGCAGTGAGCTCTTGGAGGAGGTATGCACTTCTGCGTCGGACCCTGCTTGGTCTCACATTTTCGTTAATCTGATGGGTTTGGGAAGCTTGCAGGTCTGGGTTGGGGAGGGAAGGCGAGACATGGATTATCCTTTCGTGCTCCCAGAGCGTGGCTCTTGGCTGACCTTTTCTTTCCCTGTGTAGGGATGGGCATGCTGGCCAGTGTGTACACAGATGACGAAGAGAGAGGCAACGCCATGGGGATTGCCCTGGGCGGCCTGGCCATGGGGGTTTTAGGTGGGTGAGGACCACGGCGGAGGCACACCGAGAGCCTGTCTGGTGCTGGACAGTTCTCCCCGATTCCACATGCACGTGGACAGATTCCCTGGCTGCCCCTCTTAGTCCCTGCTCTCGTGGAATCCTTGAAAGATGGGGCTTCCTGACATGGGAGAACCTGGGCTCCCCCGTCTCTCTCTCCAAACTTGCTGGGGGACCTTGGGAAGCCAACCCCAGACCTCCTGGGCCCAGATGTAAAGTGGAGGCTCGAACAGGCTGGTCCGCCCAGATGCCTTCTCTCCTCGCACACATTCTCTGAGTTACCATTGGAGAGGGCCTCCCTGCCTCCTGAATCTGCCTCCACACCTCCTGGCCTGGCCTCCCAGGCCCGGTGCCAGGATCTCTCCTGGGAGGAGACACGGGTGCTCTCCCCTTTCTCTGTTGCACCCCCAGCCTTCCTATGAGAGCCCACAGTCCCTGTCTGTGCCAGTTTATAAGGGACGAAGTCCTCGCTGACCTGGCTTCCTGTGTGCCTTCAGCGGCCAGGATCTTGTTTCCCTCTGATCCTTAGTTTGCGGTGACCCTTAGAGTCTCTTGTCCATGTGCAGGGGTGATACCGCTGGGAGGAAGTTGCCAGGGCAACTTCACACTACTAGATATAACATAGAATGGCCACTTCGAGTAGCCTTTGGAACAAAACAGAGCGGAATGCAAGAAACAAGTGGGCGGTCCTAGTGGGGTCGGGGGGCGCTGGCCCCAGGGCCTGGCATGGTTCTCTGTCTCTGCCCTGCAGTGGGCCCCCCCTTCGGGAGCGTGCTCTATGAGTTTGTGGGGAAGGCGGCTCCATTCCTGGTGCTGGCTGCCTTGGTGCTCTTGGATGGAGGTGAGTCTGCGTGGGGACCTTGGCCATGACCTGGGCATGTATGTTGACGGGGTGCAGGGCCACGCCTTTTGTTTGTCTCTTGTAGCTATTCAGCTCCTCGTGCTCCAGCCGTCCCGGGTGCAGCCAGAGGTAAGCCGCTGGGAGAGGAGGGCGCTGCGCCAGCCATGTTGGCACTTCTGACCCCTGTTTTCTTGACAGAGCCAGAAGGGGACACCACTGACCACCCTGCTGCGGGACCCCTACATCCTCATCGCTGCAGGTGGGGCTCCCCTCAGCCCCTCGGTCCTTCTCAGCCCAGGGGTGGGGGGGTGGGTTGGGCGGTGAGGACCCGTGTTCATTTTGCTGCTGGAAATGTTGGGCTGTGGAAGAGCGTAAAAGGCACAGAGAGGTTCTACATCAAAAAAAGTGGTTTTCTTCTGTCATCAGTGTCTGACACTCAGCCAAGTGCCTGTGTCGTTTTTCATGTGGGGCAAAGGTGTCTGAGTCACAGAGATGCCCTGCAGCAGAGGCTTGTTTTGGGTCGGCCTTGTCGCCGTCCTTGTGGCAAAGACCATTACTGTCTCTCCTTGAACTGCTGGAAGTCGTTCATCGCCTCCCTGCAGGGGTCTCAGCTGGGGGTCTGATTCACCGTGACATGTACGGACAGACAGCAACAGCGGAGCCCCAGAGGACTGCGAGGGCACCTCCCTTTCTGCGGCCGGGGTGTCCCGTTCCGTGGCAGAGAGGCCAGGCCGGGAGGCACCCTGTGGCTAAGAAAGCTCACGCCGTTGGGTTCTCGGCCTGGATGGGCCAAAGGAAGCCCCGGTCGTGTGGCTCTCAGGGAGGATCGTGGCAGCCTTCATCCAAGGGACTGTCCCCTCAACACCACCCCTGCGACACAGGCCTGGGACCGCCTAACAAGGGACCAGCCTTGTGCTGCTGGGTCCTGGATACTGTGGCCAGCAGTGGCCCTTGGGGGCAGGCCAGGGGAGCGCAGGTCCTCTCCACTTAGGGTTAGGTCTGTCCAAGCAGGAGTCAAGGACACAGGGGGGTGGGGGAGCCAAGTGAGGTGGGTGCACGCGCCGCCTGAGGGCGTTCCAATTCAGCCTCTTCCCAAGCCTTGGGCTGGTTTTGTTTTAGCTTCTGCCTCGGGGTTTGTCCGGGTGGTTCCCCCGTAACCCTGGCGCAGGTCTTGTTCGTCATGAGTTGTAAACCTGGTGTGGTGACCTCTTCAGGCCGGAGAACCTCTCTGTGTCCCCGATGATGCAGGGAGCATTTGGCAGCCCAGATGCTCTGTCTCCGAGGTGTGGCGAGAGATGGGGCCCAGAGGTGTGGCTCCCCGCCGCTCGGGGCAGCTATCTGGGCAGGCTGAGCAGCCTGGGCCCCTCCTGCCTCTGCCTTCCTTTGTGGCTCACTGTCTCGTCCCTGTTCACAGAGGGAGAGGCAGGTGTCCAGCAGCACCGAATGTAAACCCGTCAGCAGGCCCAGGCAGCCTCGACGGGGGCAGCTGGGCGCCAGGTGGTGTCCCATTTGTACCCGTGGGATTTCAGGGTATGGAAGTGACTGATGACATCGAGAGGTCAATACTGTGGAAAGAAGATTGCCTACCTTTCCCAAGGAGAGGGGGCACGCCACGTCCTGTAGGGCCACGTGGGAAAGCCCCGGGTTTGGTCAGGAGGCAGATAGGGGCACGGGGAGGTCTAGGCCACAGCCTTCATGGGACAGGCAAGGCAGGGCAGGGTGAACAGCTTAGTGTCTGCTCATTTAAATAATCCCAGCAGCCTTTGGGGCCTGGAGGCTGTCTGGTTGCCTGACTCCAGCCCTGAGTGGATTTAGTGGAGGGGGCGTTGATTTGGTGGATCAGAACTAGATAATGAGGGGTTCACGTGTGGGCTCTGGATCGCGGGGGGTCTGTACACAGTGCTGGCAGTCGGTTTGGCTCTGTAATTAATATAAGTGAAATAAACACAGAATCTAAGAAAACACAGAACAAGTGGGTGCGGGGGTCCAGTCATCTCCTCATCATCTCTGTGTTCTGCCTTTAAATGTCACAAAGAAAGGGAAAAAAAAAAACCCTTTCTTCATCGTGGGAGCACCTTAATCACAATTTCACAATGTTCTTTTGATCAAGATTTTAGCAAATTAGAGGTTCCATAGGGCACAGCACAGGAAGCTCTCAACATGATGGGAACAGTTCCCTGTGTCTTTTCCTAGATGGTTCTACATTGATAAAATGTTCCAGTTATCAGAGTGATAATGGACATTTGCAGAGACCCTCTATGCACAGTTGATATTAAGAAAATATCCCAGAACAGCACCCCTGTATTGATACATTGTATTGTATCATGCAACTGGGGCTTGGGGTCTCCTGGGACATCATTAGAAATATCTGAATTCATGAGAGGACTAAATAGTAATGGAGAAAAAATACAAGAAAGATTAAATCGAAAGGGGGAAAAAAAAATAAAGACCCTGATTACTTTAAGTAGGTTACACTTAAAAAAAGAAAAGAAAAGAGAAAAGAAGTGTCTGTGTTCATTGCACAGTGAGACTTGGGTGTGGGGGCCTCAGGCCGCCCCCATCTGCCGGGGCCTGGAAGTGGCCTGCCCCGCCGGCCTCAAGCAAGTTACTCCACCAGAAAACGGGATCTCCCTTTCTTTGTTAATGAACCAGGAAAGTTAAACCAAATTACCTCTAAGGCTCCCTCCAGTTCCAGACTTCATGACTCTGGGAATCTCGTTGTTTAAATAATAATAATAAACAACCACCCCGCTTCACTGTCCCCTTGATCTGTTATTTTTTTTTTCTTACAAAAGCGGGAGAGGCTCTGGGTTTCCAAGCTGATGGTTCTGGCTGTGAGCACCTGTGTCTGTGTCTAACTGTGTCTGAAAACGGTAAGGGGCCCTGGACACCCAAACCAGAAGTGCACTAACCCTCTTGCTCCCTTAAAGGGTCCATCTGCTTTGCAAACATGGGGATTGCCATGCTGGAGCCGGCTCTGCCCATCTGGATGATGGAGACCATGTGTTCCCCGAAGTGGCAGCTGGGTAAGGACTCGGAGGGTGGGGGCGGGCTCCTCTGATCCTAGAACTTTTGTCCCCAGGGCGGGTCTCATCGTCATAGCCCTGCTGAACTGTGGGTACCAGGATGACCAAGTGTGTTTCTGTTCGAAATTTAATGGGGTCAGTGCTGAGGGTAGCCAATGAGCTTTGGGGTCTCTCTTGGCTCTAGTTTCTGTATCTTCTGCGCCATCCTTGATGGACGCATAATTCGTATAGAGGCATCAGACCTGGGCAGAAGTCAGAGAGGAAGAATACATTCAGCGTCGCCCCATATTTCTGAACTGGACTGGTTATATTGAATATACAGGGACGCGAGACAAGGATCTGTGTTGCTGTTCTCTGTAGGGCCAGTCAGTTGTCCCAGGACCAATAGTCCTGATAATCCCATGACTGATTTCTGCCACCTCTGTCATGCTCAAAATGACGTGTGTTCCTGGGTCCATTTCCGGGTCGTCTGCTTGGATTCCTGTGTCGATGTTTCCCTATTTAAGTACTAAAGCTTTAGAATATCGTTTACTCTCTGGAAGGCTTGTCCCTGCACACACGCCCCCCCCCCCTTTTTAAAAAATGTGTTGGTTATTCTTTCCAGAGATTTATTTTTTTCCACAGTTCTTTCAACCTAAATATGGGTATCTTCAGATGGAGGCTCAGTACTGGATGAAGGGGACATTTTGGTGCCCCCAGCCTCCCCCGGCAGCCTTATTGTCCCTCTGGCATCGGCATGGGCCCTCTGGGGTGGTGTCTTACCAGATGCTGCCTCCGGGTTCACACTGGGCCTGTCCTTTCAGCCTGAAGCACCGCGCCTTTTGGGTTGTGCATTGAATTGCTGTGTTTTTTCATCAGATAGTCCTTGAAAGGCCCCAGGTGCCTGGGGGAGAGGGAGCTCCTCATGGGCATGAGGTTTCTCTTTGGCATGAGGGAAGTGTCCTGGAAATTACACAGTGGTGATGGTTGCACAACCCGGTGAATACACTCAAAACCAGCGACCTGTCCATTTTAAGAAGGTGAATTTTATGGAGTGGGACCTATGTCACAAAATAAATGCAAAACCAGGTCCCAAACAATAAGAGTCACTCAGTGAAGGAGAAAAGATTCTGGGAGCTATGCTAAGGCTGGTTCCTAGACAGAAAATTTGGCTCTGAACTTCCTGGCTGTGGAGACGGGAAACCCGGAAGCTCCGAGAGGGAGCGAGCACATCACCTGCAGAAGGGATGGACTTGTCCTAACCCTGAGTTAGCGAATGGCGACCTTCCTGTCTTACTCCTAGCCCCACGGAAGGTATTTGTCCAGATCTCCTTTCTCTCTGGTCTCTGCAGTGGTTGGGGCCTCCGGGTGTTTCCAGGAGGCGCTGCTGTTTGGTGGCCCATGGCTGGGAGGGTCCTGCATCGGCTTTGCAGGGCTCCAGGGCTGAGATGCTTGTTGACGTCTGGATGTCTTCACTTAATTGACTCATTACCCTCACTGCGTCAGGCCCTGTGCAGGGCACTTACTGCTTCGTCCTCTTCCTCTCTGGGCACAGCCTGAGGCTTGCTTTTATAAAACCTTTAAAGTCAGTCTGAGGCGTTGGGCCATCTGGACTAGATAGCAGGCCACAGGCCACCTCGATTTCCTCTGGCAGGGCTTGTCACCCAAGCCAGATGGTCCCATTTCCACCAGTGAGATCATCCCGTTCTTGTTGCAGAGATAGACTTGAGTCTCTTCAAGAGAGTCACTTTTCTCTGCCTGTCCTGTGTCCTCTGCACAGGGAAGCACCTCACTTCCTGACGGTAGCTTGTGGCCCACCCCTGCCGGCGCCTCTCAGGCCCCTCTGAGCCTTGGTGAGGGGGCACCCTGGGTGACACAAGGCGAGGACCAGTCCCCTGAGTGGAGGACCCAGGGCCAAGCGCCACAGCCCTTCCTCTGAGGCCCCTGCCGCCACTCAGCCCCTCCCCAGGCAGGGACTATGTGAGCCTGAGGAAAGCCAGTCTGTCCAGAAGATTCCCCGATTGTTTCTGGAGAAAGACCACACGACTGGAAGTCAAAGCAGGACAGCCTCACCAGCTGCACGTGTAACACGTGACGGCCCTGGCTGAGTGCTCCTAGATCCAATCACCTGGCAGTCCCGGCCGTGCTGGAAGCCTGGGCCTTCTGGAGGTTTGACAGCTTTTGTTCACTTACAGAGGGACAGTGACAGGCTCCTGTACCCTGGGAGAGGCAATGACTCCGCCTGTCTGTGTGCTGAGAGCTGCCTGGACGGGAAAGGCCCCCGGGCCCTGCACATTTTGAGGGCAGTGAGCACCTGCCGACCATCTAGTATCTACCATGTGTGTCTGATTTATGCGCTCGTATGATTGACAACAAAGCAGCTGTTGCTGTTGGTGGGCAAGGCTCAGGATCAAACCTGGTATATCTGATTTCAAGAGGAAACAAAACACTGGGATTTCGAACACTAAGAGTTTGGAGAGCCGTCTTTGAGAAAGAGAGTGTCCGATTGTCCTACTAATGAATAGGGAGCAGAGAGAGCTGATGTGGACAAGTCCCCTGGCAGCCAGGGCTTGGCTACCTCGAGCAGGCCTCTGTCCACTGCAGAGGGCACGGCCACGGCCACCCCTGCTGCCAGCAGCTGGACATCGGCTCCGTGCCAGGGTTGCAAGGTGCCTCTCCTGGGTCCGCCTTGGACGTGAACATCCTTGTCACCTATGACTCAGCCACAAAAGACAACCCCAGAGACACCTATTTTTTGATATGGAAAGATGTTTGTAAAGCTAACTGGAAAAATCAGGGCGTAGAACAGTAGGGATAATCCCATTTCCTAGGAAATACCAAACAAAATCCTGCGCACACACATTATGACGTACACATAAACTTATAAGGGAAAATAACTGTGGTGATTATCCATGTGATGGGGTTTGGGGTTAATTTTACCTTTTTTCTTTGTCCTTATCTTCCTGTTCCCTAATTTCTTCCATGCCTATCGTCTCCAGTCCCCCAAATAACGAAGGGGACGGGGGCCGGCATGGAAGCCACGTGGGCCTGCGGGCTGACAGGTGTTCGGGCCCTGCCGGTGTCCATTCACTGGGCAGAGATGGGGCGAGATGGAGCCGCTGATAGAGAAGAATCTCGCGTCTCCAGCGTCTCCACGCGTCTCCACGCGGGCGGAAGAGCTGCGCGGGCCGGCCTGGCTCCGGCAGCTGCCGGATATTAGCTGCCCGGGCGCCGGCCGCCCGGCTGCATCTCATCTGCTCTGATCGCCGCTGCGGTGCCTGCAATTATTAGTTTTCCTAACACTTGACTGATACCAGTACTGATAAGGTGTCCTTTTCATTAATTTACAGGCGTCGCTTTCTTGCCAGCTAGTATCTCTTATCTCATTGGAACCAATATTTTTGGAATACTCGCACACAAAATGGGGAGGTAAGATGAAGTGAAACCAACTCTCTCTCTCTTATAATAATGTCAGTCTTCAAAAAAAAAAAAAATTCTCTGTATTTCTGCCTTTGCTATTAGAAGTAATTGTTTTGATTTCCATTGAAAATTTGGACTGGGGGCCAAAAAGGAACATTTGTTGATGGTGCTTTTTTGTTCTTTGACAGGTGGCTTTGTGCCCTTCTAGGAATGGTAATTGTTGGAGTCAGCATTTTATGTGTGAGTAAAAGACGACACTTCACGCCTGGGAATGTTCTGTGAATAAAACTTTTGCTTTGAGCAAGAATCACCAAGAAATATTTTTAGCCATTTTGAGCTTGATACTGGGTTTTATTACAGCTTTCATTGTCTTCTAATTTTTTAGTATGTTAAACATTTTGAACTAGGCTCTCCTGGGGACACATTTTCATTCTGTGTCAGTTGGAAGTTATTTACACTGTTTTCTTAGTGGTTGTATTTCACCCACCCCCATCCCCATCAGCATAAACATTACAATATCTTAAACACTTGAGGGCAACTACCTGAAACAATAGCAATATGTTTTTCTAGAATAAAATGCCTTATACTTTTGATGGCCAATATCTACCCCAAAAGAGGTCTTTGGGCCCTTGTCAGAAACAGAGGCTGGTCTTTCACATCTGGGAGTTGATAATTTCTCATGGTGCTCACACAAAACCTGTTTCAGCTTCAACTTTAAAGCTTTGGAGGGTCTGGTTCTCCCCAAGCCCATTTCCCCTTCTTTCTGTTTCCTTCAAAAGGGAATATGCACACCCAGCTGGAGAAAACATTTTTAGGAGTTTCCAAGATGTTTTAGAGTTGTATATCATGTTATTTTAGTACAACATTTATTTCCTCTTACAGATTCCTTTTGCAAAAAACATTTACGGACTCATAGCTCCCAATTTCGGAGTTGGCTTTGCAATTGGTAAGTCACATGGGCCTTGTGCCTGCATTTAAAACAGTTTTCCCATTACTCAGAAGGTTTCCTCCTCCTTGGGCCGACCTGAATCACTCAACCTTGAATTGTTGGAAGCTTGAGGGGAGGCTGTGAGTAGCCAAGCTCCAGTACAGCCTGGAGATTGTCCACAGGAAGATACTTGCTTCCACATTCTAGTCATTTGTTTCCTGAAAACCAGAATTTTGAAAAGCCTGGTATTTGCAGAAGCAAGCAGATGCGCCACTGCTGTGCCTGGGGAAATGAGTCCCCCACTCATAGCATGTTGTTTGGGCTCAGATCTGTGAACAGGCCTTCCCAGATGAGGCTGAGGGTCCAGGACTTTGCATGTATTTTTTATAGGGTTTGGTACAGAAAAGGCGGACTGATGTAGTGATGACCAGCTGTGCTGCAAGAATTTCACAGGCAAAGGAGTTGGGTCTTTGTAACATGAGGGGCAAGAACATGTTAGGAAAAATCCCGTTAATATTTTGGATAAATAGTATAGGTTTGTTTCTCATTTGGAACATACAGATCGATCATGGGATAAGTAAGTGCTGAATCTGCCTCAGGTCAAAGCAGGAATTTAACCTTTGGAACAGTAGAAAGAGTGGAGCCTTTGTGGACCTCTGGGGCCAGGTTACATCACCCTAGTGTGTACATGGCCTCTCATGCACCTTCACAGCATCAGTCACGGTTGTAATTCATTTTCAGCTCTTTGCTTAATGTCCAACTCTTCTCTTCTCCTCTGTGTCCCCACACCTTGCACGTATTCGGTGATCAGCAAATACTAGTTGAATGAAAGGAATTTCCCTCGTCCTCCTGCCCTAGTACTTGGGGAGGTGAGAGAAATCCCATCGGAGTGCTGTAGGGGTGTGTTCACAGACGTGGTCTCATTGGGCCAATCTTTTCCATCCCCATTTGACAGGTGGGAAACCAATGTCCCAGAGATAAGGCACGACAGGGCCCACACATCAGGGATTTGAACCCAGAGCTCTGAATACATGTGCTCTGTCTTTATGCTTCCTGTCCCTGACGATTCAAGAGACCAGAGTCTGGTTTGGGAGGCAGTGTGTTTTCCCCCCAGTAATGAGCAAACCTCTTTGGATCCTAGTTTCCTGAGTAGGACCGGTTGGTCCTTCAGACTCCTTCTTGTTCTGGTTCCTTCTGATCCTCCCAACTGTGTGTGAGGCCAAGGTGTGGATGGGGAGGAGACTGGGTGAGGCCTGTAGGTATGTCCAGTTTTTGAGGCCAGGGACAAGTGGACCAGAAACAGGAAAGCAGCAACAGGAAGCAGGTTAGGGGTCCACACGGCCGGTAACCAGCAACATGCTGAGCCAGAAGAAGGCGGTGAGTCTCCAGAGGCCCCGGTGCCCTCCATCAGAGGACAGACCTTCTGGACAGCAAGGCCAAGGGGAGGCAAGGCAGAGAGCAGGCAAATGGTGGCCTAGGTAGTCTCAGCTGCCTATAGTCAGTCTTCAGTGAAAAGTGGGTTCTAGGGCAGGGGTCCCCGACTGCCGGGCTACAGACTGGCACTGGGCTGCACGGCAGGAAGTGAGTGGCGAGCGAGTGAGCAAAGCCTCACTGGCATTACCACCTGAGCTCTGCCTCCTGTATACCTTCCACCTCCTGTGGAAAAATTAGTTTCCACGGAACTGGTCCCTGGCGCCAAAAAGGCTGGGGACCGCTGCTCTAGGGAGTCTGCCTCAAGAATTGCAGGTAGGGGAGACCGAGGGGCCTCTGGGTTGTGAGGTGAGGACTCAGTCCTGATGTCCATCCCATTTTTCAGTTGACAACAGTTTGCTATAGACTGTGTTCCCTGACTCCACAGGCATGGTGGACTCGTCAATGATGCCCATCATGGGCTACCTGGTAGACCTGCGGCACGTGTCTGTCTACGGGAGTGTGTACGCCATAGCTGACGTGGCCTTTTGTATGGGATATGCTATAGGTGAGGACGTTGGCTTTACAAAACCACCTTTTATCTCAGTGCACGACAGAGAATGCTTACTGAAAACGAGTTAAACCTTTGCGCCTTTCTGTGTACAAGACATTTGCTGAGAGCTTTATCTAATTCTCCATTTCCTGAAAGGTCCTTCCGCTGGTGGGGCTATCGCGAAGGCAATTGGATTTCCGTGGCTCATGGCAATTATTGGAATAATTGATATTCTTTTCGCTCCTCTCTGCTTTTTTCTTCGAAGTCCACCTGCCAAGGAGGAAAAAATGGTAAGAAAATTTTAGGATGTAGTCAAGTGTTTCTCAATCATTTTAGTGTAGTCCTTTGGATAGTTCCATCACAGCTTAGTTCTGAAATACATTTCTCCTTCTTCTAGGCAGAACTGTCCAAACATAAATGGTCAGAGTTCCCTTTTAGTTTATACCACATAGGGCAACTATGACTTTTATTATATCAAGCACTATGTTTATAAATTTGAAGAACAAAATTATTTTTGTGTATAGATTAAGCTCATTTGTCAATGAAATATAAACATGGGATAGCTTAACTTTCTATGGTTCCTGAAAATCGTGACTATAAATACATACATATCCTTCTGCTCTTACTCCGAAGATCAGCCATTGTTCGGTGCTGTTTGCTATTCTCCCAACCCTTCTGGCTTTCAGTAATAGTGCCTTAGGCCTTGCTGCACAGGACCCTGGGGGTGGTTTTAGTGTAGGTAACAGGCCCTCATGGAAAAATATTGTACATGCCCTTTTGGGCACACGTGAGCATGTATAACCTTGAAATTCATAATCTCATGACCAGAATCATAGCTGTAGGCAAGGTAGAGTATAAAGTGTTCCTCTTTTGAATGCATTCAAGCCTATCAATTCTAAATCTGAATTTTGAAATGCATCAGCCATTTTAACCTTTCCGATAAGCATTCATATCTGAAGGTGGTGGGTGTTGCTGATTTTCTAAAACGTCAGATGGTGATAGATACTTATCCAGCTAAAAGAGTGCTTTTGGTTAGGAATGACTGAGAGAAGCAAGGCGCAGGGAGGTGGCATCCTTGGTTCATGAATGGATATGAGGTCCACTTGTGATGTTGTGCTGGGCGGCAGCCCACGTGCTTTCTGATGATTGAGCTGAAATGGGCCTGGATGCGTTGGCATTCCTTCAACTGCCCTTTTATGATTTTCCCCAAATAGTGACTTTAAAGACAGATTCAGACCCTGAGATTAGATTACATACAGCCTTTGGGGCATTTTTTGCATTTATTAATCTGTTCAATATATTTGAAAACTATATCCAGCACTGTGCTCTTTGTTACGTGGGATTTAACTAGATAATTTTGAATTGCTCATGACTCATTTGACTCTAAGAAAAGACTGGAAGGTGCTGTGGAAACATTTTGATGGAAGTGACCCCGTTCTCCCTGCCCCTTGCTTAGCCAGCTGCCTCTCTGTGGCGCTTTATTGTACGTCTCTCAGAGACTTACTTGCTTTCTGGCCTGGTTGTCCAGCTCCTTTCCATCTTTGCTGGGCCCCAGAATAGCACCTTGCCCGAATCCGGGTGAGAAAGTTCTCAGTGCAACAACTGGCAAATGGCATTCTGTTGTCACTACATCAATTTGATTAAGGCTAATCACCGACAAATGCTTCTGGCACCCAGGAGACCGTCTAAGGCTGTCAGGAGACAGCGCAGGGCTGGCACGGGCCCTGGAGCAGGACTGTGACATGGGGAAATGTGATGGCTATTTTACAGGGCTGTTGGGAGGATTAAATGGAAGAAAGAATCCCAACAGAGAGTTTAGCCCGTGTCTGGCACACAGGACGTGCTCCATAATTCTTGCTCTTCCCTAAATCTCTGACGGACTCTGTCGGCCCAGCGGTCCCCTGCCTCATCCTCCCCTCCTTCCTTCCGTGAGGTGAGGGCTCCCCTTCACTGTTCAGACCCCAGAACTGCTGAATGGGTTTCCCTGACCAAGGCTGCAGACGTTAGCCAGTGGCTGTTGTGTTATCTTTGTTGGCAGCAGGATGGCTTATCGGAGGAACTGGAGGAAATGGTGAGGTCAGAGGATGAGCGGGGGCGGGCGGGGGGCGGGGGGTAAACCTGCCCAGCCAGCTCCCGCCCTGAGATCCACAACGTGACGGCAGAGGCTGGCCCCAGCCCCGCTGCCTCTCTTTCTGCATTTAAACCGATATTTTAGTTCATTTAGAAAGAAAAATGCTGAAGGAAGTAGACAAGACCATCCTGAAAGGCAAAGCAACAGTCATTACAGGCTCCCAGAAGGCCACTTGCACTGTGAAATGTCAGACTCCTTGATAAGTGCATAGCAAGATGAATCATTAAAAACCGGAGAAAAAGTGCCCCTCGCTGCCCCTAATTGATGCCGCCATCTAAGGTATTGCATCAGCTGCCATTTGAGGGCACATTGGCAATGTTCGAGGGCGGCAGCCCACAGCTGCTGCCTGCTCATTGTGCGAACCCACAGCACCCAACAGCCAGGAGGACGGAGGGCAAGGCAGCGGGTGCCATGCAGAGAAATAAGCGACTGCTGCCCACATGAGTGCCAGCGTTCAGGCCCAGCAGGTACCAGACGCGGGGGCTGTGAGAGCCGGAATGAGAAACGCGAACCTTAGCAAACAATTCCATCAGTAGGCACCACCCTGATAACGTCGTGTTTGAACTGTAGGCTATTTTATACGGAAAGGTCTAATGCCATTTCCACAGATCCCAAGTCATACCCTCATGACCTAGTTTGTGAGAATGAGTTTTTCTTCCATTTGGTTTATGGGGTTTATTTTTTGTTGTATTTAAAAAAAAAAAATCAGTGTTGAGTTAGCAATATGGGCAGAAAGAAGAAAACTGTTACTCAAGTGCCTCAGCAAGTATGAGAAACACCCACATGGTCATTTGAGAAAAACTCTCTTCTAGTGATAAGACAATTAACATGCAGCTTGTAACTCTCGGAATACCCAGTTGAGAAGAGCTGTGTTCTGGTATGGATTTGTTTTTCAGGTTGAAGAATTAGTTTTAAAGATCGGCCACATTTCTTACATCTTGCTCGTGAAGCTTCTAATTGTTGCCCAGACCGGGAAGTAGGCAGTTTAGGGATTGTAGCTTTATTTTCCTGGGAGGCTCTGAGCTCTCCTCCTTCCAGATGTTCACTGGATGCTGTGGGGCGGGCAAGGATGGGGCCGCCAGATGCTAAGTAGACGGCATATTATAGTCTATTTAAAGAAACGTGTCCCCTTGTAGGGACTTATATCCTGGATGCAAAACCATCCGTTTTGTTTTGTTTTGTTTTTAGATACGGTAGATAAAACTTTTCTAACGTGCAGGCCTGGTATTTTTCCAAGTCTTAAATCCTGGAACTCTTACATTTAATGCTTTTACTATTTCACGATATTGGCTCCATATTTGCGTTATCGTTACACTACATTTGGTTCAACGTATTTTTACCACAACGGAGATCTGAATTCAAAAGGCAACCGCCTCCTCTTTATTTTCTCTCCCGTGGAGAGGCAGACATGCCTTTCTCCGCGTGGCGGCGTACTGAGCACTGGCCTCAGTCACCGGCCCGCTCACGGCCCCTCGGTAGTGCATCTGCTTACCCGGTCATGCTTCTCTTCTCATGGCACTTTTGGAATATTACACGCCATCCAGCTTATTTAATCACGTTTAACTCTTTACAAAAGTAAACCTATTATACAATAAATCTTTCAAAAGACGTTCAGAAACCAGTAAGCTAGGTTTTAAAAACTAAAGAACAGCATGTCAAGGAAGAAAACGTCTCTGCCTGAAACAGGCTGTGTGGTTTGGTTGAACTGGTAAATTCTGACTATTTAAATTTGTATGATGTCAGTTGATCCGACGGAGCCTGTTCCCTTACCATGCAGCGTGTGTCTGTGTTTTACGCCCCGTGCTTGGTCCTGGGGGTCCTTAAGAAGTCTACACATATGTACAGTCAGGGCTAATGGTAGATGAACTGAGAGAGAGAAAGCAGTTGTGAATACGGTAGAGTGATGGCTGTCCTTTCCAAGGCCAGCTTGCTGCCGGAGGGCCAGGGGTCCAGTCCCTGTGCCCGGCATTCAGGGCCCTGCAGTCTGGTCCCAGCTGGGCTCTTCTGTTGCTCTGTGCCAATCGTTAGATCTCTCTGGTGGCCAGGCATGGGTGTCCCTGTTTTACTTAATGCCCCATTTGGTGAAAAATCCATGCTGCGCTCATGCTCACTGTGCTGATTCTTTCCATCATTCCGGGTTCAGCTCCACCTGCACGTTCCATGTATCTTCCCCAAGCACTTGACCCACAGTGAGCATCCTGCCTGGGAACCCTGTGGAGCCTGTCAGTCCCTGTGCAGCGAGGTAGCTAAGGTGCTGGGATAGGACCTTCAGGGCACTGACCCATGTGCCCAGTAGGTGCCTGTGAAGCTGTTGTCAGCCTTATGGCTCTGCCATAGTCCCAGATAATCTCACGTAACTAGGGCAGTATTTCTCGCGGCACGTTGACACCAACTCTCATGGGAGGGTAGGGACCTGAAATTCATTTTTAACCTGTGTCCCTGCGAAGTGATTCTTGGATGCATTTCTTGGAGGATCATCCGTGTAGGCATATGAGACCTTGAGCTTTTGGGGGGTTAATTAAGACTTTTGTGCAACAAGCGGAGAATGGTCCTTGTGAACCCTGTCAGTGGCCTTGATTACTTATTTTTATAAATTGAGCCCTTTATTAAACACATGTATCTATTCACTTGGCAAGAAGCATAATGCAAAAATGGAGCTAAGTTTGCAGCTGACTACTGGAGCTGGCAGCCTAATTTGGAGGGCCCAGGAGGTCCTCCTTTTAACCTGCAGATCATTTCAGAAGTCCTTGGGAAGTGAGAAGGGGGTTAAGCAGAGTGGAGTCAGGGAAGCTTCCCAAGTCTGAGGGACCAGAACCGGGAGTAGCAGCTAACACGTGGAGAGAGACTGCAAATGTAGGATACATTTTAACCCATGTAAATGTGTCCAGTGGATTTTCAGACTGCACCGAATGGTATTAGAATAGCTTATGTGGAAGAAAACTCCGGGCAACAGAACCGGATGAGAGACTTCATTTTAGTTGCATCCCGGCTCCCCTCTGCTGTTCCCTGTGCCCCTGATGGTGCTGTGGAGCTCTGCACGAGGTGACTTCAGCATAGACTGTCTGCACTCCCATCTGCCTTGCTCTAGCGGGACCTCCCTCGGTCAAGTCTTTAACCTGTGTGCCAACACGAAGGGCTATCAGCCCACCACAGGGGGTGATTGTTAAGTTGAGGTATTTCATCGAAAATGCTTAGCATGGGCCCGACTGAGGAACATCAGCTGTGTTCCCAGGCCTGCCCACTTCCAGGAGGAATGACGACTCAAGTGCAGCTTGTTTGAGTATCAATGGACTATTTTTTGTTTAATTTTCAGTAACAAGGGAAAGCACAAGATTTTTGTATTCACAAGAGGACAATTTTTTTCAAAAAAAAAAATCACGCATTTGAGTATGAGTTGGGCAGCCAGGAATTGGGGAGAGGTGCTCTGATGTGCCATTAATGAAAAGGGCCCTGTGACCTTAACTCTAGGGAAACCTGCGAAGCTAGAGCAATGGTCTTAAAATACTGCGGGGCCGTTCCATGAAGACGGCTGGAATCAGAACCTGACCCACAAAAACAATGGAGACAGGTTCTAGTCCGGCCTCGGGTGCGTTTCTAACGTGAGAGTTCACCCCGTGGAGGAGAGAGCAGGTTGCCACAATGAAGTCTTTAAACAGAAGTTGGATTGGATGACCTCGAGGGGCCACCCAGTCCCAAGATTCTGAGCACAACTCTTCCTGACGCTAACCTTCATACTCCTTTTTTCAGAGCTTACAGGCTCCCCCAAAATGACTCCGGGCCCCTGGCAGGTAAAATGAAAATTCTGGGGAGAGTACTTCGGCTATGTCCCGTTGCCTGAGTGTGGGATCACAGATTTTCTGGGCCAGGCACCTGGCAGTTGCACCAAATGACTGGTTAATGGTGGTGCTTTCTACCTACCTACCTACCTACCTATCTACACACACACAAAGTGATCCTTATAAACAGTAGGTTAAAACCATCTTATCTTTATGAGACAGGGAGTTAATATATCTGCACTTTGTTCTCTTTTAGGCCATTCTCATGGATCACAACTGCCCCATTAAAACAAAAATGTACACTCAGAATAATATCCAGTCGTATCCGCTAGGTGAGGAAGAATCTGAAAGTGACTGAGCTCCTCAAAAGTCATCAAAGTATTTAATTGTATAAAACAGTGTTTCCAGTGAAATGACTCATCCAGAAGCGTCTTAGTCATCCTGTTCATCCCTGGTGAAAGAGTAAACAACCAAAGGTTATCATTTCTTTTCCATGGTTATGATCGATTGCCAATAGCCTTATAAAGAAAAAGCAGCTTTTCTAGGGGTTTGTATAAAGTGTTGAAAACTTTATTTTATGTATTTGATTTTATTAAATATTATACAATATATTTTGACGAAATAGATATAGTATAAATCTATAAATATTTGAATCCAAATCAGATATAATTTTTTAACTTACATTCATTCATGAGCACTTGGGCAAAAAAAAAAATCTTATATTTTTTCTGAATACTGGTAATGAGTGTTTAAAAATAAAGCACGCATTATCTCTGAAACACTTCCAACAATAAGAAACTAGAAGGAAGTCTGAAAAACAGAATTTCAAGTAAGACAGCATATGGTTATGTAGTGACACTAAGTGTTGAGTGATTCAGCTTGTAATCATTATTGATATACTTATGAGTTAAAAGCTAGTTATCTCAAGTACAGGAGACAAGAACTTGAGTCAGTTTTCTTTTGGGTTTGTGCATATATCTTAGCTGGTATTGGGTGTCCCTGTGTGAGCGCCTACCTGGAAACAGCTGGTTGTAAATTATGTTTACATGTCATGTGGTAGGAAGCAAACATTACACTTAGTGAGGGGAAAAAAATAGCAAATGTTCTGAAAGCAGAGGAAAGCACCCAAATGAAGAGTTTTGAACAACTAGAAGCTTTTGCTTTAAGATATATACTTGATTATCTTCCTGGATGAAAGAAAATTGAGGGTAAATGTACCTTATACTGTCCAAGTTGTTTAAAATAAATTCGAAAGGCTAATAACTTCCATGATATGGAAAAAAAATGACTATCATCTTTGATCTGTTTGGAGGTCATCCAAGTGTTTTCTAGGGATCTGCTAATTTTGAGTCATCTGAAACTATTTTCTAGAGTTCTGAAAGTTGTTCGCATCAATGTGAAAAATTTTAAAAGGTGAAAAAGGAATGAAAAATTATGTCTTGAATCCTGTTAGGGAAACAGGTAAAATAGGGTGGTCAGGACACATCCCCTTTCACAGGCAAGAAAAAAACCAAACGTCTAGAAATGTCTGTGTATTACTGTATCATCTACTGCTGTGTAATGTGGTTTTTCTAAGCATGACGTTGATGTGCTTTTTCAGTGTAACAGCCAACACTGTGTTAGTGAACATTGTCAGTTTACATCAGGTTTTGTATGAGAAATGATTGCAGTGCGAAGATAGCATGGCATGTCTCCAATACTACTTGTTGATTTTGTCGTCATTGTAAACAAAAATTACCCAATGAAAGTTCTCTTATGTTAAACTAAAACTATGTTAACTTGGACAAGGAGCAAACAACTTCGAAGTCTGCTAATTTTGAGTCATCTGAAACTATTTTCTAGAGTTCTGAAAGTTGTTCGCATCAATGTGAAAAATTTTAAAAGGTGAAAAAGGAATGAAAAATTATGTCTTGAATCCTGTTAGGGAAACAGGTAAAATAGGGTGGTCAGGACACATCCCCTTTCACAGGCAAGAAAAAAACCAAACGTCTAGAAATGTCTGTGTATTACTGTATCATCTACTGCTGTGTAATGTGGTTTTTCTAAGCATGACGTTGATGTGCTTTTTCAGTGTAACAGCCAACACTGTGTTAGTGAACATTGTCAGTTTACATCAGGTTTTGTATGAGAAATGATTGCAGTGCGAAGATAGCATGGCATGTCTCCAATACTACTTGTTGATTTTGTCGTCATTGTAAACAAAAATTACCCAATGAAAGTTCTCTTATGTTAAACTAAAACTATGTTAACTTGGACAAGGAGCAAACAACTTCAGCACAAGGACTCTTCAACCTCTTAATTCTCTAGGGAAGTCAGCTAATACTTCTTTTCCATTTGCTTTAGGAAGCTCTTCTGTGGGGCTTTGAATGACCTTAAGTCTGGCTGTCAGGTCCAGCGTGTGGAAGCAAAACAAGCTTCCTCACCGACTCGCGCTGGGTAACTTACAGCGTCCACAGCTTTGGAACGTGGTCTGGGGGCGTTCTCATGGCTTCTGGGCAGGTGCTTCTCTCCTTCCCCAGGGGAGAGCCTCAAAAGAGAATGTGCTACAGGTCACTTCTCCTAGAGGGTCTGTGGTTCTCCCTGCCCCCAAACTGTATCATTTATTCATATTTTAGTTTTGCCTTTAAGGCTTCAGCCTCTTCAATGACTGATAAAGGCCTGCCTGTTATTGATTCCTAGAGATAACATGATAGGTGGAGTTTTTCAGAACTGTTTTAGGAGCAAAAGATATCAACTGTATGTGAGAGGGAAAAAAGAATTGTAGGGTCTTTTATGCGGCTAATATTCTGGGATTAGCCAAGACTGAGAAGAGAGGCTTTAAAAAAAGTATCCAAACGAAGAACATACAGCTCTCTGAACATGTCTGAACAAGAACTTGGAGTAGAGGTGTATTTTATGTTTGTGCCTGGCAAACAGATAGAAAAGCCTTAATGAGGTAGTAATGATTTTCAGTTCTTTCTTTTGATTGCTGAGTGTACCTAAGTCATGTTTTAGCTGTGCACTTAATAAATCTTCTGAACACCACTCTGCCTATTTGTCTTCCTTTATTATAAACCAGACATTATCGTTGGAATCAAATACCTAAGGTATTGTTTTGACTGTTGATAATGAATGAAAAACTGTTGTTCTCTGCTTGCAGGTTATCAGGTACAATCCACTCCAAGTTAGTTTGAAAAATGTTTTAAATTGAAATATGTAACTAGTACTTTTGGTCCGTGTGGAAAACTCACTAAGTTATCCTTGCACCTGTAAAAGTTGTATTATTTTTCTGATTGCTGTGAACAAATATATCTGGTAAAACTAACTAAACTATGCGGCCATTTGACAGAGTGGGCCCATGGCCCCTGAAAGTCCGTAAGACTTACAGGGTGTATGTGTGTGTCTTGTAGGGGTGAGTGTCTAGTTTTAATCAGATCTTCAAGGGGATCCATGGCTTAAAAAGGATTAGGGGACCCTCCCCCCATAAAAGGAAAGCTATCATCTCCATTTAGAAAAACACAATACATTTTAAAATTAAAGTGATTTTGAATTTATTCACTTTTAGGGGACTTAAAATTTTATTATCTTTATTATCTTACTATTTGCAAGAGCCAAATATTTTCAAATCACCTTTCAAAAAATTCAGATATACTTTTAGAAATTGACAGTACCCTCAAATTTTTAGTTGTTTTCTTTTCTCAAAATCACACATGGACACACAGTATTCAATTTGTTCTGATATTAAAGACTTATATTTAAGGCTGGACATTAAGAAATGTAGCACATTAATTCTGATTCCAAAACAGTGCTAAAATGTTGCTTAGCTTGATTATCTAACCCAATCATTAAATACCAATGTAGAAAACACACTTTAAATAGTCTAATTACAAATAAGTAGGTAGCAGAGGTAAACCCATAAATCTGTTGTTTCAAAGCCTGAAGAAATAAGTAAACCAAAATTTAATGCTTTGAGCAATTTTCAGAATAGCCTTTTGTTTAGCAACAATGAACTGTTGAGCTTATTTGGTGGCCAAGTTATACCAGGCCCTCATTCCACAGACACTGCGATCACCTTTTTCAGATGTCATCAAATGAAGATATTCTTGTTTTCTGTGGTAGTTTTTATTATTATTTTGAAGCTATTGATAACATAGCATGGCAGCAAGATTACATCAGGAATGTAATATAACACAACTGTTTCCATCGAAGCCGTAGATCTCAGTGTCCCCCGGGCTCCTTGGAGTGTTGTCCCCCCGACCCCGGCACTAAAGTACAACCACGATGCCTCTACTGCTTCTCCCAATGTGTATAAAAAACACCGCACTACGTGAAAGGTGTATTTTACAAATATCATGAGCAGCATTACTGAGCTTTCCATCATTGTGGTTCTACAGAGTTAAATACGTTTAAAGCACAAGTTGATTTTTACGAAACCAAAGTTTTGCAGTATTTCTCCAGCTCTTTCAAATGCGCCAGTTACAGCAGCAGGCTTGGATGTCGGCCACTAAGACTTCCGTGGCGTGATCAATAAGCACCAGCCCTTCCTGACACGCCACCTTCCAGGTTGTCTGTGGTGAGTTACTTTGTATAAGATGAAAGCTGGTTATCACATTGGGCAGATTGTTTCAAGCACATGTTACAGAACATCATTTTAGTTTTCAGAGAAGGTTGTGTATAAAGACTTCCATAGCGGTGTCCTTTTAGAACGCAAGCATGCTTAAATAAACAGGGATATACACAGCTATATTTGTGATTAACTTGGCCAGGAAAGTATTGTTTCCTAATATTTCACTTAGCAGAAAAGAGAACTGGCTATTGATTTTAAAAGTGGAATAACTTTTTTACCCTCAAAAATGCTTTTAGTGCCCGTATGAGTCATACCTTTCATTTGAATAACTTCTTACTATTCAGAACACTTAGTTATGCTGTTGTTCCCCTCACCGCAGTCCTGTGAGATAGAGTAAATCTTGTTTATTCCTACTTTGGAGCTGGGGCACGAAGCCCTTTGGTGGTTTGCCTGTGGTTATACAATTCAGTCACGGCCGATGGAAGAGCTTGACCTTCAACTGATGTGTGGCATCCTGGGCTATAGATTCGGGTCAGAATCCATACTATTATACATGCCTTTTTCTGTCAGCCATACAGCTGTCCCATCTAGTTTATATATATATCTAAGTGATCATAGTACTTACCTACAAAAGGGAAAAGCATACAGATCCTTTTATAGGCACACGAAAAGCCAAAATTTCCATGGCGCACAGACAGAGGTCATACTTACTTCTCCCTCAGTCACGTGTTACTGGCAGCCACATGATGGACCAAGTATCACAGTAGATCTTCATTTTCAGAGAACTGATCCCAATTCCTATGTACCTATACTGTCTATTTTTATTTATTTTTTTCTCATGTATGAAAAATAGTCTGAACTACAGAAGCATTCAGAATGATCACCATTCCTTTTAGTCTGTAGGATGTCAGACAAAGCAATAAATCTATTCTGTATGATTCCTCTCCTTCACAACATTCTCCTACATGAAAATGTTTCTAAAACAAAACAGCCGAAACCAGTTATCAACGTGGTCATTTTAAGAACAGTCCTCTGAAACTTTAAATATCCTTGCAAATGCTTTATTTCCTATGGGAGAACTGAAGATGAAAAATAATCATAAGTGTTTAGAACTTCCTTTTAAAGGGAAAGTAACATTTGAAAGATAATGTTTCAAAATCCTATGGTGGTGGTTTTTCAGTAATCTTATCTTGCTACAAAATTCTTTGCCAACAGTGTTCTATGTTTACGCCTTACTACATTTTGTTTTTCAGTGCAAGCTCTTCAAATTAATCACTGTATCCTTACTATACTTCAACTGCACAAAACTTTAGAAAAAAATTTCACAGAGGCATATAAAGCAAGCAATATATGTAATTTTTGTTTTTACTAAATCAGTATAACTGACTAAAGCCATAGTATCTGCTTTCGTGTTACATTTGGCAAAAAACAAGACAAAAAGCACCCCCCACGAACCCCAAAATAATAAAAATCTCAAGCAAGTAGAGATGACAAACCTCCTAAAAAATTATAAGATTCAAAACCTGTTCCCTCAGTGATTGCTGCTGTCAATTTGGGCACGCAGCAATCTGTTATAACCGTGATAGAAATAAAGATATTAAAGAATCTGGCCAGTGTCCTGTTTAACACTAATTCAAAAACTAAGAGGAAGGAAAACAGCACAATGCGACATCACATACACAAACATGAAAAGTCATCTTACATAATCTCATAATTAGAAAAAGTTAAAAATAAATTAGTAAAAATAAATTCCAGGTATAAACCCAAATAGCATAGCTATAAATGCAATCTGAAATAACCAATTTAGTGAGCTGGTCATGGTTTTGCTGGAAAACAACCTTTTCATTCCTGTTCTTAACACAAGCAAATAACTGTGGAGAAGCAGATTGAAGTGCATTAGAAGAGGGTTTAAACGCGGTTATATCCGTGGTACTTTAGATGCAACTTTCCCCGCAATCACCTGAAAGTTTAAATAGACTGTTCGTTACACAGACTCAGATGGGCCAAATAAGTCATCTGATATGCTGCTGAACGGCTGAGAATCTATTAGTTGGGTTATTTCATTATCAAGATCTTCTTCTGTATCGTCTGTGTATTTGCTTATTTTTTTGGAGTGCTGGTCTAAGGACAGACTTTCTAAAGATTCGATATCCTCAATGCCTGCTCTGTAGTGGATCATAAGAAGTGTCAGGGCTTGCAGTCTTTCACCTGATTTAGCCAAAGCGGCAGAAAGAAGTGATTTTTTCCTCGCATCGGTTGTCTCTTTTTCTTCTCTAACAAGGGAATTATTATGTTCCAACTCCTGATCAATTTCATTTTGCAGTTTATCCAGCATGAACTCAAGTTTCTGGATCCTCTCCTCTGTAGGCAGGCCCCTGTAGAGGTCACGGCCAATTTCTTTAACTGCAATGAAGACGCTGTCATCCAGCCCTCCCTCCTTTCTCACTAACTTTATCCCTGTGCTGTTCACCCGTTTAGAGGGACTGTTTGGCCCACACACCTCTGTGTCACTACCTTCATTGTCCGACGTGTTGGGGGTGTGTTTTGGTGAAGGTTCTACTAGATCAGTTCCTGCTTCAGAAAGGCGGGTTTTAGACACTTGACGCAAATTTAACAAACGAGAGCTAGTATTGATAATGTGCCTCGTCAAGCCTGTTGTTTTATTGACTGACTTGCTAGCATCCGCATCGGCACGAACAGGCAGGCCCAGGAGGGTTTCCTGTCCTTCCAGCCTGAGGTTTTTCAGGGTCCGGTCTATCCGCCTGTCAGCCGCCCCACAAAGAGGAGTCTCGGCTAGACACTTCTCCTGGCATTTCTTATGGCAAACGTACGCACACACCATACACTGGGAAGCGGCTTTAGTCCAAACTTTCTTCTTGCAGTAATCACACCAAGTTGGGTTCTGGAACTGAGTGTCCTGAAAACTATGCTTATTTTCTGTTAAACCCAGCTGTCCAACAAAGTGCTCCTCCTTGGGTAAGGCAGAAACCTCTTCGACCAAGTGAAGTTCTTTTTCTTTCTCCAAGTTAGTAACTATATGGTGGTCCGGCTCTCCTTCTTTCAAATATTTGAAATGAATAGTAATGTCACCAAAGCAAAATTTGTCATTGAATCCCTTCTGCACACTCAGATTGCGCAGTGCGGTTCTCGTGACCATGGCCTTCGGGGATGGGGCTTCCAGCCTGAACTTTGACAGGTACTCCATGTTTGATGTGGCCAGGCATCCTAAAGCCACCTCTTCAAGTTTTAGGCTAACATGCCCCAAACAGATGAGCCCCCCTAACTTGAAAGGATCCCGGCACCACAGTGCAATGTTTAAGTATCGGTGGCAGGCTTCTATGTCAAAGACACAGGTTGCTCTGGTTCTTGTCCATTTTCCTAGCTTGTTACGATAGGGGATTTCTGAGGATTCCCACATCTGCGGGTCATCCGAACTGTCCTTAGGAGGGCAGGGACTTTCTGAGCTTAAGTCTTTCGCCACTTCTTGCTTTGTTAAGAGCTGCTTTGATGCAGCTACGTCTTCCAGGTGATCCCCAGTTTTCGCTTGCTTCTCGGCAGCTTTATCTGCAGGAGGAGGAGGCAGCACCTTTTCTGGCTTTTCAACAGGAACGTCTGGCTCCGCCTGACTTGGGGCATCGGCAGACGGCAGAGGAACTTTCACTTGCGGGCGTGGTGGCACAGGCGGTTTGAAAGTGGATCCTTGGGTGGGTTTTGACACTTGTGCTGGGTCTGTTGTCTCAGAAGGTTTTAGGGCCAAGGGTCTGTTTCCTTCTTTGGATGGGAGTTTTGGTAGCGGTGGGTGAGTCCCTACAACTAATTTACGGTTTAAAACTGGTGATATTGTCCCAAGGGGCCTAACAGAAAGTGATGTTGGAGTACGTTTCGGACTATGACTTGCCGTTTGTGCTTCATCTTTGAACTCAGTCTGAACTCTAACGTCACTTGCCAAGTCTTCAAATTCTGAATCCAGATCTCTATTTTCAGTATCTACTGCCAACCCAGTTGCCTCTTCTTCATAGTTTGGTTGGCATGAGTTTGACAGAAAGTTTTCTTCCAACTGTCCAAAATTATCTTGCAGAACTGCACCTGGATTACTCTGGCCAACGGGCCTCTCATAATACACCAGGACCCGGTCACCAGCCTGCTTGATGAGCTTCAACACTTGCAGTGTAGATGTGATTTTCACACCTGTTTTAAGATTTTAAAAGGGAAAACAAATTACTGCGATAAGAATTACCTAAATTGCTAAATATGATTGCCATGAATTCACGATTATTTAATGAAAAAGTAGTATGGAAACCTCCAAAATAACATCATTAGCTTTTGGATGCATCAGTGTACTGATTCTCAAACCCTGAATGTGTTGATGTCCTAGAATATTTACCTTTTCAAACCAAATAATGACATGAAAATCCTTAGAAAGGGGCCAAGCTGGTGACTCTTCATTGCTTCCCCTTTCTTCCAGGGTTTCAATGGCATTGTACCTCAGTTTAAGTGAGCAGAATGAGGCCTTATGAAAAGAATTTTATGAATGGCCCTGCCTGGGTCATTTGGTTAGAGCATTGTCCCAATGTGCCAAGGTTGTGGGTTCAATCCCTGTGAGAGCACAAACAAGACTCAACCAATGAATGCATCAATAAAGTGGAACAACAAATTGGTGTTTCTCTCGTTCTCCTTCCTCTGAAATCAGTACATTTTTTAAAAATGTAAAAAAAGAAAATAATTTTATTAATGGTTAGACCAGACTAATAATGATGGGAAACTGATTCTACTACAGGAAATCCCCAAATATACCAGGTATTACAAGCAATTGGTTCAAATTAAGAGACTGGTGCTTGAAATAAACTTGTCAAAATACTATATTATAAATAATGTACTCTCTAAAGAATCTTTTTATGAGCTTTACCCATTAAACTAATCCTTTTCAGAACCAGAAAGAATAAGGAAGACATAAGTTGCTTTACAGTTAAACAAGTTGGTTACTATCTGCATGTATATTGATAATATCTATCTTACATTTTCCTTTTACTATTTTCCAATAGGTGCTACATTACATCGGTCAAAATTCAAAAGGTACAAAAGACATATACTGAAAAATCTTCCTTCTACCTCTATCTCCTAGCAATATTCTTCCTTTCCTGAGGAAATCAAAGCCAGCAGCTTCTAGTATATTCTTCTAGAGATCCTGAGAAGTCTATCATTCACAGCCTCGCTCTGTCCCCTGCTCTCTCACTACCCTCCCCACAACAGCCCGCACCCAAGCTCTCCCTATCTGTAGGACTTAGAGAAAGATGGGATGGGTCTTTGCTTTCCAAAGGTCTTAGGGTCATCCTAAATAAATCAAAGTAACATCAGCCCCATCTAGTAACCTGGATGTACAGTTCCTCAGCCCATCTCCTCTCTTACTTTGGCTGCTCCAGGAAGGCCACGCTTTAGACCCGGCCGTCACCTGGAACTTGCCCACAGCAAAGACCTTTCACTTGGAAATTAATCTCTGGCCGCAGTCTCTTATTTTCCACCTCTGACAATCCAGTTGCTAACTGACTCTGTTTGAGGCCATTTCCAGATCTCATCCTTCCTCCTCTGCTTTCACGGTCCATCTGGCTCTGCTGGCACCACTTGCTTTCTCCCTGACCTCAGCCTCAGGATTTCAATGATGTCACACCAAGCTTTTCTGTTCTTTTGCCCTGGCCCCTTTCTCTTCCTACCTACCTCTCTCTGATCCCCAGGTCCGCTAGCCCCAGTCTCCCTTTCCTGCTCCCGAGATTACCGCCCGATCTAGCACCAGGTTATGCTCTCTGTCTTTGGCAAGGTGTTCATTGCTGCCTTAGCATCGTGTTGAATGGTTGCTAAACAACGGAGTCCTTAAAACACCAGCTTCAAACCTCTCCTAGTGCCCTGAAGCCCACCCTTCCTGCTCCTTTATTCTGTCAGTGACATCACCTAATGCACTGAAAAGGTCAACCAGAAGCCACCTTTCCTCCCTGCCAATCATTTTTAGTACTAACCCACCTCAGAGAAGGGAGAACCCCTTTCCTTGTACTTTGGACCCCACCCCCCCAGCCATCTCCTTCAGCGCTTTGCTACATCAATGATCCTTGCTCATATTTTTAGTCCCTTCCTCCTTCTGCTTTAACCCATTTCCACGGCACTGTACTGATTTGGTTCAGGTTATCTCTTCTCTGCTTTCCCCCACCTATGTCTGCCCTTTGTATGCAAATGCTCCCATGGTTTTGGCCATCATTAGTTTTTCCCTGCCTTTTCGCTCTTCCTGGATTACATCCACTTCAGCAGTTTCAACTATCTAGTAGTTTTCTTCTGGTCTCTCCGCTCTTGTCCTACATTCCCAACTCCTGGATATTGCCACCTGGATGTCTCTTTGACAGTACAAAATCAGGGTCGTCAAAACCCCTCTTTGACCGCCTCATGCTCCTGTCCTCACTGTTATGTGAACCAACTTGCCGCCCTCTCAGTTAAGCTGACATGAATCCCAGAGACAGCCGACTCCCCACTCTGCTGCCAGCTGTCAAAGTTCCAGTCCGTTTTCATCTCCTCTTCAGCTCCCCCAGATCACTGGCTTCAACGACAGTAATAAACAGCTCTTTGCTGGAATCCCTCACTCACACCTTCCCTATTTTAATCATCCAACATATTGCTCAGAAACCTTTGGTCTATAAACTCGTCACACTGAAATCCAGAGCTTCCTAACGTGACTCTTCACGATTCATCCAGCCCTAACTCCTGCTACTTCCCTCTAACCACAGTACGTCCCAGAGAAACTGTAGTTTGACATGTGCATAAATGAGTAAGAAGCCCCTCTAACGACCCGCAGTAAGCAAATACTTCGACTCACCCTAAACCCACGCTCTGTGACTTAACGCCTGCCCTTGTCTCATCACTTCCCCAACCGCCCCCGGCTCTTTGGAGGTGGCTGCTGCACCTCTTAGGACGGTTTGGCCAAACAGGCCAATAATGTATATTTCAAATACATGCAAAGGTAGAAGAAAGAGTAAAATGAACTCCATTACTGAACGTCAAATATAACCAACATTTTTTTCCATCTTATTTCAACTGTCTTCATCCCATTGCTAAGTATTTTAAAAATTACTGTAGACCCATATAAATGAATTACAGCTATAAAAAAAATTAATGTATCACAATGGCCCCTCATCTCAATATTTTTTATAAATGTTAAATATACTTTTCCACTCTGCACATTTATATTGCTCAGATTTACTAGTTTTTGATAATATTTACTACTTGTGTAACTGAGAACAAAAATCTTTCAAAAAAAGTACATAAGAAAAAAATTAATTTTATCCTATAGGTAAAACCAAAACAGTATATGTGAATATAAAAAGAATTTATACTGACTTACAGTTTTTAGATGAGAAAGAGTAACTGTTATATTTATATTAAACAAGTAACAGATGAAGTTTATTTTATGGCTTTGGTATAGCCTAAGTGTCTATGGCACATGTGTTTTAAATTAAATTTTAAGGCTTCCTTCAGAAAGAATAAACTTACTACTTTCTTTCCACCACAGAAGTAATATGTGCTTAACAAAGTACAGGAAGAGGAAAATCCCCACATCTACCCTCTGCGATCTCTGTAAATGTAAAGTACGCTGCATATTAGCATGGTTACCTCCGATCGCGATCAGTCGGTCTCCTCGCTGAAGATCAGCAATCGCAGCAGGCGAGTTTGGGGCCACAGTCTCAATGATGACGTGCCCGGCATAACCATCAGTTGACTGGACAAGACGAAGTGTAAGGCCAACACTCTGTAAATTCCCCTTAATTAATTCAACCTTTGGTAAAGAGGAAAAAAATGAAGACAATCAATGGGTTCATAGTAGTGGAGTGAGAAAACATTAACACACTGAGAACACTGCAGCTGATGACGGCTTTTGTAATGGTGACTATTATAGAAAAATAAAGGAGGAAGGGATCTTTATTGTGACAATATAAATTAACGCATGCTCTGGCTGAAAATCTAAGCAATCAAAAAATCACTTCATATCTTCAGTGTGTCTTATCTATGCTCACTGTAGAAAATTTGGAAATAAACAGAAAGGCAAAATCAAAACTACTCCTAATCATAATATCTAGAACTACATTGTCAATGTTTTGTACTTTCTAATATATATATTTTAACACAAAGTTGAGCTCCCATTACCAATATAATTCTGAATGTTGCTTTTTGGAAACATAATGGGAAAAATCTCTTATGTCATTAGGTATACTTGTAATTTTTTTTTAATCTCATCCGAGGATATGTTTATTGAATTTTTTATTTTTTGAGAGACACACACATCAGTGTGAGAGAGAAACATTAATCGGTTGCCTCCCATAGAGAGCCCCAACTGAGAACCCGCAACCTTTTTGGTGTACAGGACAATGATGCTCCAACCAACTGAGTGATCCAGCCAGGGCTAGATATACTTTGGAACCTCTATTTCTTACGGTGTATTGTTGTTAAAACTTCCTTTTGTGAGGACGAGCAAAGGAAAAACATTTATGTTTTATTAAGAGTTATCTTGTTAATGAGATATCCTAACTCATAAAGATCATTTTGTTTTCTAAATGAATGTCATCCAATTTATCAGGAGTATGCAACCCAGGTTCACATTATCTGTGATTTTAAGAAACAATACATGCTGTCTGTCTGCATTTGAATCAAAGGATAGAGGGCCATATCCCTCTAGGTGGCAAGAAATCAACCTGTGTTTACTGAGCTAAATTACAAATCAGTCTTCTTGTATTATCGTTCAGCTTAATTTTCTTGGTTCTGTTCTTCAAGATCTCTCTTGAGGAACTTTGCCAAATAACCTGCTTATATTCAAATATGACACTGTCCGTATTTAAATGAAAATCCCAGTTAAAAGCGAGAAATGCAGTTCTCGTAGCTAATGATGCTGGTGAGTAAAAAAGTCCTTATTGGGAGTTATTTAAGGTAAGTGTTAATAGATTTTGTAAATTTGTTTTCATATGAAGGAAAGTCTTAATCATATTATGCTCAAGAAATGGGACATGAAGTCAAGTTTTTGATTACCTAAAAGTTTATTAAAAACAAAATCAACCCTTTGAAAAAACATTATTTGTGTTTAAATCTCTAAAAATATTTGTCTAATTCTTGCCTGATGATAGTAAATAACCACTTTATAAAGTAAAAAGTGTTTTCAGTTAACAAAATCCCCTAAGAACATTCTTTCAAATCCACAAACATATTCTTAATATAAAGCACTAAAGCTAAAATTAAGAATGTAAATTTTTCTAGAATCAGAGAGCTTAATGGCAGCAAATGGATAAAAAACTAAATTGCATGAGTCTGAGTACTATAAATTTTAAAAACGTTCAGGTTTCGAATGTGTTTTTGTGATTTACTTTGTTCTAAAGAGGAATGGAGGTTGGGGGGATGGGGTTGAGACAGGAACTGAGGCTAGGATAGGTTTTTGTGTAATTCAGTTTCTTATTTATTTTCTGCGTACCAATCATATTATGCCCTTTGCTTTTCTAATTTCATATGATCCTTGAAATCAACATTTCAAATGGAAGAGAGAGAAGGTTTTCTACAGGAATAAGGTAAAATACCAAATTACTCCCCTTTCTCCCTAATTTTTACTACTGATTATTAGTAAATTCTCTTAAATTCATACTTATACAAGGAACAGAACTTAAGACACTGTTTTACTTCTTTTATTTTTAGAGTATAAAACACCATTTAATTAAAAACCTGACAAACCAAAGCAGTTAAAAATGAGTATCACCAAATTTTGTTATTTTAATGTAAAACTTAAGATAAGGTTTACAAGACCATCCAAATGATACTGTGACTTTTGGAACAAAACTGCCATCTCCCATTGGGGTAAAACTACTTAAAAACAAAAATAGACAACAATATGTTATACAATTCTCCCCCATACACATGTATCTATATTTTGGAATTATACTTAAGACTATTGGCTATCCCATGTACTATGAAACATAAGCCAAACTAGAACCTTTTAAATCATGAGGTAAAAATTAATAGAAATCCTAAACACTTTTCCTATGTCTAGTGGAGCAAGTGGCATTAATGCCCTGCAATATAACATCATTACCCAAGATAGGTTGGTTTTTAAGATTCTATTCTGAAAAATTTAAACTATATACAAAACCACAGATAATAGATAAAATGAACTCTGTGATCACAAATTACTACTATTCTTATATGTATGTTCCTTTGCAATTATTAATTTACTAAACCTGCCATTAAAGATGTAACCTGTTTCTGTACTCTCTTTTCAGCAACCAATATAACTAGAAAAAAATAAGTAAAGACACAGACTATCTGAACATTATTAACCATGACTTTAATGACATCTGCAGAACACTATACACAATGGCAGAATACACATTCTTTTCAAGTGTACTTGGTAACTTCACCAGGATGTGCTAGGTCATAAAACAAGTGTCGATAAATTTAAAAAGACTGAAATTCAAGGTATGTTCTCTGAATGGAATTAAATTAGAAATCAATTAACAATAAGACAGTTAGGAAGACCCTATCAAATATATGCAAAGTAGAACAATACATTTCTAAATCGCTTATGGTCCAGAAATCAAGAGAAATCTTTATAGCTGTAAATGCTGGTATTAGGAAAAAAATATCTAAGATATCTATTATCTTTGCCCTGGACCAGTGTGGCTCAGTTGGTTCGGAGTTGTCCCACAAATTGAAAGGTTACTGGTTTGATTCCTGGTCAAGGCACATGCCTGGGTTGCTGGTTCACTCCCTGTTTGGGGTGTGTAAGAGAGGCAACCAACCAATGTTTCTCTCCTTCTCTTTCTTTCTCCCCCCTTCCCCTCTCTCTAAAAATAAATAAAATCTTTAAACAAATTAGTGAACTTTGTTCTTATCTTAAAAAATTAGAAATCCTAAAGCAGAAGGAACTAATAAAGAGCAGAAATCAATGAAGCAGAAATACAACAGAAAAGTCATGAAGGCTGATTCAATGAACTAAGCCTGATTAAGAGATGATTTGATTAACACTGATACACCTCTAAGCTAGAGAGATGAAAAAAAAAAAAAAAAAAGGATACATATTACCAAAATCAAAGTAAGAGGAGAGTATCACTATGGAATCTATAGACATTTAAAAATATATGGACAACTTTATGACAATACATTTGACAACCCAGATGAAATGTAAAAATTTCCTTGAAAGATACAAATGAAAACAACTGATCCAAAAAGACAGAAATTTTGAATACCCCTAGAGCAATTGAATATATCAAATTCACAAACCTTCCCACAAAACAAAGAGAAAACCAAAACCAAACCCCAAAAGACTCCTCCAGGTCTAGATTGCTTGCTTCACTGGTGAATTCTTAAGGAAGAAATACAATCTTACCTGGAATCTCTGAGAAATAGAGAAAGAAGGGACACTTCTGAAATCATGAGTTACGGTCAATGTTACCCTATGTCCCAAACCCAGACAAACACAAAACAGGAAAGCAGAATTACAGATTATTTTAATGTTCAAACATGGATTCAAAACATCCATGAATATATAAAGCACTCTTACAACTAAACAACAACAAAAAAAACTAACAAGATTTAAGAATGCGCAAAATACAATATTTGAATAGACATCTCACAAAAAAAGACATACATACAAATGGCCAATAAAGCACATTAAAAACGTGCAATTAGTCATTACAGAAACACATATTAAAACCACAATGAGATACTACTACTACTACTACTACTACTACTACTACTACTACTACTACTATTACTACTACTACCAATGGATAGTAGTAATACTAGAATGGCTGAAATTAAAGACTGATAGCATCAAGTGTTGCTGAGAATGTAAAGCAACTAAAACTCTCATGCATTGCTGGTGGGGATATAAAATGGTACAGCTACTTTGCAAAAATATGACACCTTCTTATTAAGTTAAACACACACTTATCATATGGCCTAAAAATCTTTCTTTTAGTATTTTATCAAAGAGAAATGAAAATATGTCCAAAGACTTATATGCAAATATTCACAAAACATCACTCATAAATTAATTGGTCAATCAAGAATTGGTCAGCTGGTGAATTGATAACTGAACTATTAATACTACTCAGCAATAAAAATAAAAATTTAATACACACAACACAGATAAATCTCAAGGACATGTTGCATGAAAGATGTCAAACACAAAAGATGATATACTCTGTGATTCAATTTGCATGAAATTCTAGAAAAGGCAGAATTATAGTGACAGGAAGCAGATTAGCACTTGCCAAGGACTAGAGGTTGGGGGCTGAATATTGAAGGCAAGCAGCACAAGTAAAGGTTTCAAGGTGCAGAAATGTTCTGTGTCTTGGTTGCGTGAAGGTTAACATAACTATATAATTAGCAAAATTCACCAACTGTACACTTAGTGCATTTACTGTATTTAAATGATACCTTATAAAAACTTAAAAATAAAGCAAAAACCCCTCCCCTTTGAAACAGTCATCTGGCTACGTCCATGGAATTTGCCTGGAAGTTCTAGGCCAAGTCCTTCAAATCCAAATATGTGGCTATACAAGCTGTAGAAACCCCAGGGCCCTGAGGCAGCTCAGGCCACAAGGCTCCTACCTTCGTCAGAGGGCTGACAGCATTGTGGGCAGCACCTGAACACGCGCTTGCACTGTTTCTGAGAGTTATCTAAACTACCCCCTAAGCCTGGGGCTTGGCGAGCCACACACGTGCACGGGTACGGGGCGATGGGAGGCCGGGGCAGCGCGGGCTGCCTCTGGGTGAGTGGCTGGGGAAGGCTTCGTC